TATTTCAATAATTCGCTTGCGCGTAGGGGTCTTTAGTAGTTGGAGGAAACCGGAGAAAACCCACGACCCTACTCCTTGTCACGTACAAGTTTTTAGAATATGGATTTTAATGTTTACGAATGTTGGTCGTGGAATTTACCAGAAGCTGTATCAAATTAAACAAAATCCCGGCATTGATCTCATTCTAGACACATGAAAACAAAGTTTAATACAAACAAATACTGACGTCTGGTAGGTTGAACAATTGTTGTTTCGTTCGCAACATGTAAACAATGCTACAGAAATTGTCATGCACAAATATAAATAAGATGTCATAGGAAGTGCAAGAGAATCGCACTACATGCAAAACAAAACCGATGAGAGAGAGAGAGAGAGAGAGAGAGAGAGGATGGATAGGTGACCCTACTCTTTGTCACGTACAAGCGGGAAATCGCAACCACGCTACAGACCTTATGATTCAACGCACACGCGTTAATCATTCGCCCCCCCCCCCCCCAAAAAAAAACCCAACAAAAAAACTGATAAGACAAACCGGCGGATATGACAAACTACACAGATATTGCAAGAAATAAATAATACATATCAAATCAAGTGAATGGATCCGTGTGCCAGCCGTAAGCATCCATTGCTCTGTGTACTCCAGGTACTGTAATAATATAGATTTCACTCAAAATGAAAACAAATACAAATAGTCCGCCAGTTGACGCCATGAGTGAAAACTACAAACATTTTAACAATAATAAGAACGATAATCCGGAGAGAATTTTGGCGGAAAACTCGCTGCCCGGGAAAAATATCTTTGTCTGGCTTCAAAAAATAAAATTGATCATACAACACAAAATGATCAAAATAAATATGAAATAGAATGAAATGGGATTTAACGTGTACACGTGACCTCGGATTTTCGTCCCATCCGAAGGACTAAACACTGCTCCTTGTCAGGCCCTCCTCTGATGATTTTAAACTAAGAATTACCCGAATATCGAGATGCATATAATGTCACAGGGCATACATGAGCCTAACCATAAGTGGTACAAAGTGTTTCGAAGACACAACTTAACCTGACCCTTGGCACGAAACCGATTATCTTCTCTTACGCTACACAAGCTTGAGCGAGTCATTCACATATCTGGAAATACATAATGTAAGATTTATTTTTAGACAACTAATTTACTTCACAATTCACGTCATTATTTGATGACTACCATTAAATGTCATGTTCGTGTAAAACGTCACAGGTTTTCGTTGTTAACATTGTTTGTGAATGAGATGAACCCCGATGAGATGATGTAATGAGTTAAGGGCGGGTCTGAGAATATAATGTTGACGAGAGAATGAATCCACACTAAATCTACATTCTTTGGATAATTCAAACGAACAATCGGGGGATTGGATGGCCAAATGGTTAGCGCGTGTGTGCGCTGTATCATAAGGTCTGCCATTGAGTCAACTGGCGTGGTTTGGATTCCCCGGTTGTACCTGACAAGGTGTGGGGTCACCTGTCCAACCTCGTGGGTTTTCTCCGGTTTCCTCCTACTGCTTAAGAACCCTGTTGAAATGAAGTTGAACCATGTATTAGTCCCGAAATGACCTAGTTTGTGTCGAGTGGACGTCTTTCTCTCTCTCTCTCCCTCTCTCTCTCTCTCTCTCTCTCTCTCTCAAACAAACAAACATTCGATTATCCAGAGTACGATGATATAGTGTGGAATGGGGTTTAACGTCCTACTCTTCTGCACCTACCGGGATATGAGCGTTTTCACCTTCTCTTCATCGAATGCCAATAGCGTAGTGCACGCCACTGTTTTTCGTCCCAACCGAATGACTAGACCATGTTTCTGGGTTGTCAACGAATAAAATTGAATGGTTAGTGCTAGAGCCTGAATTATCAAGTCCATGTGGTCTGGAGAACAGGTGGAAAGTTACGAAAAAGAGTCCGTCTCCAGTAGCCCGGATTGTGCAGAACAGGAGGACGCAAAACCCCATTTCGATCCATGTCATGGGCAAGGCAAAGGCAGCTCTCACACTACCAAATATCTTTTTTTCTATATTCTACTTTATCTTTAGTTTTGAATAACCCCCCCACCACCACCCACCACCACCCACCACCGCATTGGGGCTAGGGTTAGGGTTGCGATAAGCGCTAGCCCTGTTTACATCTCGTGACCTATGACGAAAAATTGAGCTGGCCTTATCATTTAGCACTAACCCTTCCATCCCGATGTGCTAGATATAACCCTACACTTCTAAATCCCTGTAGTGATAGCTGCTACATTTTCCTATGATGACTAATAATGATGTATAATGTCGTGTATTTGTCAGGTAAACTATACAGTAATAGGTAACAGTAATAGACTACCCTCCCGTCTATAGGTAAGATGGAAATCTCTGTCAACAAATCGTGCTTTAAAACTAATGATATATTTTAAACTTACTCTCACCCGATGAATCGAACATGCTTTCTACACAATGATGACAAATGAAATGGGATTTAACGTCTTATCCCGGCAATCTGATTAAAACACAGATCTTATTTCGTTTCGTTTTTTTTATAGTTCGTTTCGTTTTATTTGTCTGTACTACACTAGGATCTGGATTAGCCAATGAAACCGTCTGTTACGGCGACTTATTTGCGTGCGATTCACGGAACTGTGGGTAAAGTACTAGAAACGTCAACGCTGATTGATTAATCAATGTCTGAAGTTATAGGGTCAAAAGTCGCTCGTACGACCCCTGGCGTGACCTTCCAGTACAACTGGTCAGATCTTCATGTAGTGTAGGCCATTGAAAGTATATAAAAAAACCGAAACGAAATAGTGGACATGCGTCTTTCATCGTAAATAAACATAACCACATGTTAGTTTCAAAGTGACCTAGTAGTTGTCATTGTAAGCTTGATGCCCATACATCATTTTCGGTTGGCGAGAGCGCGATTTCTTGTCGCCGATAACCTTCGACAGCACATTATGCCGCTCAACAATCGCAGGCAATTCATCATCATGAACAGTGGTTATACAATAACAGCTCCCACAGTCAACTGGCGTGGTTTGAATTACCCGGTTGTACGTGACAAGGAGTAGGGTCGCCTGTCCAACCTCCGGGGTTTTTTCCGGGTCCTCCGGTATCCCCCCACTGCTAAAGACCCATACGCGCAAGCAAATTAATGAAATAAAATTGAACCATATGTTAGTCCCGAAATGACCCAGTTTGTGTCGAGTGGACGTTACCCCCCCCCCCCCCTCTCTCTCTCTCTTGTAAAACCCCATTTCTCTCTCTCTCTTTAGTAGATGTCGCGATGTGCATCCGGTGACAAAAACCGTCGAAAATATAATTAAGTTTACAAATTTAAATTCTACGCCATTTATAAACGATGTATAAGTCTGTCCATTGATCTATGTAAATATCAATTTTCTATTTCCGTTTTTTAAATACCAGAAATATAAAAATGGTGACAATATTTTTACTTGTGAATTTTGTTTTAACATTTGGGTACATCGTGGTAGCTTGTTTACTATATTTGTTTTCCCAGAAAAACAGCAGAGGGTTTATTTCAAGCCATTTAGTCATTTATCGTGATAGTTTATTACAAGGTGGGGTATAGGAACGTACGGACTGCAGTGAATAGGGTGTTCTTCTCGTCAAAACATTAATTGGTTAGTTTTCGTTCGATTTTATTTAAAGTTGATGGTTGTTTATTGAGGAGGAGGCGCATTGTGAAGGAGACATGCAGGGAATGTGGGCGAGGTAACTTCGAGTAGGCTGTTCTGATTTGAACAAAATTAGCCACCCATTGTAGTTTCATTTACATGTGTAGAAGTTTAGTTGATTTATTATATGACGTCGCCGAGTGCAGATATTGCAATGCGTGTGCGCTGTTGTTTTTTTTAAACCATATTTTTATTCAGGTTGACTGAATGGGATTGGGGAACAGGCTTAGCCTATGTAAAACCCCTCTCCCTAAATAATTTGTGTGCGCTGTTGTGTGTCGTGAGACAGGGAATGCTTACACCGACAGAAACAACCGATGACTTTTCTCGTTCCTCTTCGAAATTAATGCAGCTTCTAATTTCAGCAGTACTTTGGTATACCGTATGATAAACATTATATAACAGGATTCCATGATCTTCTTCAATCTGATTAAAACACAGATCATATTTCGTTTCGTTTTTTATAATTCAAAATTTCGTTTTACTTGTCTTTACGTATAAAAACACGAAAGGAAATGTAGATCTGTATTTTAATCACATCGGATCTACTTCTTAGTAGCGGATCTCGAACACAAAGGACATTGGGTTTAATGTCCTAGTTTTTCTGCACCACTCAGGCTAATGAAGACAGCGAACCCATAGTCCGCGTTATTTTCCACTCACGAATCTGTTTTTCTATTCTAACGTGGTGTCGACACTCGGCAAACCTCGGCAGACTCCGGTACCATACACCTAACTTCGGCTGTATGGCGAATTTCGCCATTGGAACTACTGTCATGTTCCCGGATTTAAAATGGCGAAGCCCGTAAAGAGTATTTTATCTCAAGAAACTGTATATTGTTTGTTATATACTTTAAAGTTTATCCTATTTTGTTTGAACAAAGTCTACCTTTGCAATGAAAACTCTACGCACTCTTCGAACGACGCCATTTTCAGAACTTCTTTCTAAAAGTGGCAAGTTTTCATAATAAGTAAACCGGTAGTCGCATCACAATTGTATGGGCGTAGCTACATATCACTTACCGTCATACAGCCGAGGCTAGACGTAGGGTACCGGAGTCTGCCGAAGTTTGCCGAGTGGTGGTGTCGAGGTTTCGGCTGGTTTAATGACTAGTTCAAATCTAACGTGATATCGATGGTTTCTTCGGAAACGGACACATATAATGACCGGTTTAATAATTAGTCTATTATGACATCATATATGGCGGTTGTAGTGTACAGGGCAGGGTAAACTTTGGGAATTTCACACAGCTAACATTTTCTTTTATTTAAACTTTTGTATCGGTTTTATTTCAGCAGTTAAAGTGACCGGCACATGCCCAAGATGATAAAGAATCATTCTACGACGGCTTTACGACAGACGGCGATCATGCAACGACAGGAACAGTCGGCACCATCTGTGACGCCACAACCACCAGCAGAGAATGCAAAACTCAAGAAGACTAAAAGTTTGAGTCGCGCTCAGAGTATTAAAGATTTGCGAGGAACGTTGCCGGCGTCCTGTGAGTTGTCTATTGATGACAGGGCCCCCGGAGTGATTAAAATCTTCGGCGATTCCGTGGTTCATGGTACGCAGTATAAAAGTGTTCTAGCGTCAACTCGATCCACGGCGATTGAGTTAATCAAACAAGCCCTGGAAAGATATGGATTACCAACTTTCAATTACCATGAATATGTTCTTTGTGAAACTGTGGGAAAACTGGAACCGGTGCCAAGCGATCCTGATAGACCTGCCTGGGTTGTTGTTTGTCAAAGAGCGTTAAAAGACAACGATAAACCGCTAGAATTACAGGAATTCTGGAAACCGACTGACGGATTCTATCGTCGATATGAACTTCATAATAAATCAGATATCAATACAGATGTTAATACAGACGATACTTCCGGTATAAATGATAACGCGCGAAAAATTATGATGTCTAAAGTGCACGTGGGGGCCATTCCCATGTCGTCATCATGGAGCGGAAGCAATAGTAGTCACGAGGCACGACAGGACCCAGAAGGCAAATCTCTACAGGCCCCGATGTTTGATACGAGCAGTTATAAAGAAAAAATGTTAACTTTACAATCATTAGCTATGTATCCATATTTATTAACAATTCGTGGTTTTCACGTGCATCATGATCTGGTTTTGTATCCGTTACGCGCCAAATCTTTATCTGTCGGTCGAGACAATTCCAACTCTCCTACGGCAGACATTGTGTGCTTTGCTCCGGATATTTTGGGCATCCACTGTCGTTTAAATCCGCGGAGTTACATCGATAAAGGAATCAATCATCAGTTGAAATATATGTTTTATATCGAACTCGAAGTCAGTCCCGGTGCGCATGTCGCTATAAATGGCCGCCGTGTAGTGGGTAAAACAGAACTACATTCAGGGGATTTAGTGGCTCTAGGAAAACATTATTTATTTTTATATAAAGACCCCACTAATGGTTATGACATACCGACTAAATTATCATGGTTGTCATCGCGACCTGAAACCACGGGTAAACGTTCGTCGTTACCTCCAGCACACCGATCAGCACGTGGTGTCAAGTTCGCGACCTCTGAAGAACTAAATACGTCATCAGACAATCAAACATCATTCGATGTGTCTGATGAAGCTGTGACATGGAACGGACCTCCAAAAGACCGACCTTTGACCCTGACATATGCTAAAGATCGTGAGGAAGAAATATTGACCGCCATTGCTGGTTTAAAATGCCTAAGCAGACGTGACAATCCTTTGACAGTGGCCATGTTGTTTATTTTATGTCATGAGTGTGCCGTGAGGAAATTTACCCGCCATCATACGAGAAACATGTACAGACGACTGTTGGCATGCATACAAAACAGCGTTTCAGTAAGTATGTTATTTACCTGTTAGTTGTCGCGAGGTGTTGGTTTATTTTACGAGGATTTCTTATGTAATCAGTTAGTACAGGGAACCTATAGGTGTGTAGTCAGACCGTCTAATCCATTCCGCCATCTTAACTCAACACTAGATTCAAACAAATCCCATGTTTTTTTTCTTCTTCTTGATCTGTTTGTTATTCGATCAGTCCGACGAAAAGCGAACAAAATTTTTTCTTGTATTCCCTTAGGAAGATATTTTTTTGTATATGTATTTTTCGAAGTAGTTTTCCTTTGACTCAAAATGTTTCCTGAGCACATTCAAAAAAAAAAAATATTCATTTGTCACCCGGAGATGTCAAAAAACAAACCAATGCATGGCTTGTTGTTTCAGGTAAACCAGGGTTATTATCACCTGTTTTGTCCTACCTTTTTGTGAGATAGGCATCCAATTGAAAGGGAAGGAAAATTATCAACTGATGTTTTTCTAAACCTGGCCCCGAGTTCACAAAGCATTCTCAGACTTAAAGGGGCTAAATCGGTAATATTTGGGACCTAGAAATTGACACAAATGGGTCGCAACGTATATAATAATGCAATATTAATATATTTAAACTGATTTACATTCCGTCGTTTCTGTTTTTACTGTAATTTTAATCAGTTATGTTAGGCGAAATACGTCAGAAGTCTCAATCGTATGGCAATCTCTATATCTGTTTATTCCAGTCTACACCGATAATATTTATTGCGCATGCTCTCCAGATAAGAATATGACGTCAACGTTTGACATGACTTTTGGAATTTGCCTTGCCTCGTTTTTCGAGTCCCTTATTACAAATAGCGCTGACACGCATCACGGTACACGATTCGTGTACCAATCGTAAAATGTTTATTTTGTCTTAAATATTGGATATCAGAAGTCCATCTTTTCCCGGTAAGATTACAACATCAATGTTGATTTAAATTGACAAATAATTCGTGTTTTCAATGTCGAAGATTTTTGACGGTATTGAGTTAGAGACTTAGCTACTTTAAATTTACTCAACTTTCAATCTCTGTTCATGAGAAATAACTTTGATCCAGAAACACAAAACTTTGCATATAGCTTCGTATTAATGTATTTGATACATTAAAACAACACAAAAAATTATAAGGGTCTATATTTTAATTAAAATAAAGCGAATAATTTTGAGTAAATTCTTAACCTAAGTCTGGGAATGTTTTGTGAATTCGGGGCCTTGTTTAAGGAATACACGCTCGTATAGGCTTTGAAGTCATTTAAATAAGAGATCACCCTGCTTGATGCATGTAAACGTCCTCATCAATTCTACCTCAAAATCATGAATATTCAGCCAAACCACCAGATCAGGGGAAACACCTATTAGTCTAAGCCCCTCAACTCTTTCATCCATTCCAAATAGTTAAACATTCCCACAATGGAATTGGAGGTCATAAAAAATGGCGAATTTCAACAATATTTCATTATAGTGGAAAATACAATTCTTTTGAAATATACTTTTTGTATCACTTCCATTTGTCTAATATATTCCATTTTTACAGTCAATGGCTGGAAATTTGTCTAATATCGTCGTATATTCCATTTTGCACTGTCGGTGGCTAGAAATTTGTTTAATATCTTTCTATATTCCATTTTGTACAGTCGGTGACTAGAAATTTGTCCAATATCGTTGTATATTCTATTTTTCAGTCGGTGGCTAGAAATTTATCGCAACAGAAATTTGATTGGTATGTATTTATTTATTAATTTCAGTTGTTGAAATGTCTCAGAATTTTGTCTAAAATTGATATACGTTAACTTCGATGATACCATAATATTTTGGCTATGAGAGAGAGAAATGGGGTTTTACGTCCATTTGACATAAACTAGGTCATCTCGGGACTAACACATGGTCCAATTATTTCAATAATTAGCTTGCGCGTATGGGTCTTTAGCAATGTGAGGAAACCGAAGGACCCGGAGAAAACCAACGAGGTTGGACAGCCGAGCCAACTCCTTGTCACGTACAACCGGAGAATCGAAACCACGCCAGTGGACTCAATATTTTGGCTATAAAAGTGCCGTTATTACCAGTGTGGTTTACCCTTGTCAGTGGTTCAGGACATGCCATTGTCAGTGTAGTTATTCAGACGGGACGAACAATCGTAAAAGAACCCTTGGCAGTTGGTATTCGAAGCAGAGTGGGCGGAAACGGCGCTGTCCGGGAAAATGTCCCTCATTGCACGCTGCATGGCGTATGCTCATCTTCACCCACATTGCAAACTATATGTCGTATGCTCATCTTCATTATCCCGGTTGGTGGAGAAAAGCAGGACGCTAAACCCCATTTCATTTAATATCACAACAATAAATGACGGGCTGATCAATGTATTAATGAATGTTTCCTCTACCTTGACGTCATTTCCGGTAATTAAGTAAATAAAAGCAGGATAGTTTGTTTATATTTATTACGCGAGGAACAAGGTAAAATGCAGTCAATTACACAGAAAAAATCCCACAAAATTATAATTATACACAAAAAAAACAAAAAAAAAATACCAAAAACCTGTAGTTATTATTAACAGATGTCTTACCTGATAACGCGATGATTTAATAAACGCTTTTATTACATCAGTAACTCAATAGCCATGTAGAATAACTGAATGAATTTGTTGTGAATTTCGAATTACCTGAGGATGGTGTCATAAACGAATGCGCCATTTCTAGTCGCTTAGTCAGAAAATGTTCACATAAGTGAACCAAAGTGGGAAATATATTTAGGTGCTAAGTTGTGTGTCTCAATTACAATAGTTGTAAATTGAGAACCTTCGGAGGAAAAAAAACACATAAAAATGCGATTACAAAGTGTATGTGTTACCTTTAGTCTGACATTTCATATAAGTTGCCTATTTTGTGCAAAAAAACCCATTGTTTTCTATTTCTTTTGCGGCTGAAGTAATCTCCTTTAAAATGGTGGTTCAAGTAATCTCCGTGAAGATGGTGGTTCATGTAATTTGCTTCAAAATGATTACTTCAGTAATTTCCTTTAAATGATTATGACTCGAGTAATATTTGATATAATGACTCAAGTAATCTTTGATATAATGACTCAAGTAATCTTTGATATAATGACCCGAGTAATATTTGATATAATGACTCGAGTAATATTTGATATAATGACTCAAGTAATCTTTAATATAATGACTCGAGTAATCTTTGATATAATGACTCAAGTACCCCCCCCCCCCCCCGATATAATGACTTAAGTAATCTTCGATGTAATGACTCAAGTAATCTTTAATATAATGACCCGAGTAATCTTTGATATAATGACTCAAGTAATCTTTGATATGACTCAAGTTATCTTTCATATAATGACTCGAGTAATCTTTAACATAATGACTCGAGTAATCTTTAACATAATGACTCGTGTAATCTTCGATATAATGACTCGAGTAATTTTCGATATAATGACTCAAGTAATATTTAATATAATGACTCAAGTAATCTTTAATATAATGACTCAAGTAATCCCCCTGATATAATGACTTAAGTAATCTTTGATATAACGACTCGAGTCATCCCCTTCATATCGAGTAATTCCCCCCTGACTCAAGTAATTTTTGATATAATGACTCGGGTAATCTAGCTGCTTGCTGGAGTTTGTTCTCGTGGCTTAATCAATTTTGACTTTAATTGAATTACTTTTAAATGTTTTGTCTTTATTTTCTTTACACTAACAGCATAAAATTTAGCATCAATACAACACTACAAAATAGTGACTCTGACCATCTACGTCATTTGATGTACTGGATGTCCAATTCTATTAGTCTCTATTGTCACATGGTGAGTTTAGACAATGATACTGGAGGAAGTAGTCCCGAACCAGAAGACGAGTCTAGCAGTGGATTAAAGACCTTTCTCGTGGGACTGGAAGAAATTGTCAGTTTTTGTTTCCAACAAACAGTGTACTGTATTACCAAGGTAATTGAATTATGTGGCGCGTGTATATAATTACGCATGGCGATGCATTCAAAAGAAACATTATGACGGGTGAATGCAGCGTTTATTTTCGTAAAATCTTCAAGAATGTTCTCATTTGTAATATATCAGTCTTATTACCTGCAGTGTAAATAATCAAATACGTTTTCTGTTTATAATAATGTGAAATATCTAATTAAAGGGCCATCTCAGAATATATTATTGGGTGAACTACAAACTTTAATGACGTAACATTCATGTACGGTATAATTATTTAAATGTGTTCATCAAATGATTAGAACAATAATCAAGTGTTTGTTTGTTCGTACGTCTGTTCTGGGAGGGTTGTCCCGAGGCTGAAAGTTGGGGCTGGCGGATTAACTTTGGCTTTCTCGAAACTGAAGTTTGGGTTATAACGGCGGCTCGATAGGCCTGGTGGAGTGGCATCCTGGTTTCGGAGTTATCCTACTTTGGACGAATTAAATCACGCTAATTTAAAATTGGAACGACTTTTTAAATTCAGGAATAGGCCTATATAATTTTGATGATTAAACAATTTCGTAAATGACTTTATTTATAGGTTCTTTATCCGTTGACTGGTAAATTTCTGGATGCCAATCCATTTTCTGAGCATACACCCCAGAATGCCGATGGTGTGGGGAAAATGATATTCACTCTGCACGTGGCCTATGACTTGGCGAAAAGTGTCCATCTACACGATGACGTCAGAAGTCAGATGATGACGTATCTCCTGTTTTTCATAGGCACGTCCTTATTTAACCGTATGATGAAGAAAGGTAAGCAAACTCCATTAAACATGCATTATGCAAGAGCTAAATCTGCCTATTTCAGGTTTTTCTTTAGGCCTGAAATGTTATATAACTTATTAATTAGACATTAATTAACTTATCCAGACCATAATCAAGTCTCGAAGTCATCGCCAGCGTGCGATATTTACTGGATTAGGATCCGATTTGCTGCCCAACGCTCATTAATGATTAAATAAAAAAATGGATAGTCGAGACTATTTTTTTTATCGTACCGACTTTAGTAATGATGATCGAGGCTAGGCCCAAAATTCAATCGCTAAATTCTTGGTTCAGAGTGGGTCAATTTGACTGAAATTTTCAGCAAATTCCCTTTACATTATCTAGTTTTTATCTATTATAATGAGAATTGACAACTCTTTATCTAATCCCCCATAATGTATCTTTAAGATATACGGGTTATCGTGATTGGTTTAAACATAGTTTATTGTACTAGAACATAAATACTGTACAAACGGATTTGAACAAAAGTTACGAAAACTTACCAATGCCCTCACCACATACATTGTAATTGACAGTAATCGTGTTTTGTAGAGCATTGTGGCAATTTAGGGGTTGGTGGTTTGTTTTGGCCGATAAACTTTCGTTTTACTTTTGATTGTTGATTAACGATATTAGTTTTATAAATAATTAAATAGCCCCACATTTGTCCAGTCGACACAAACTATTTCATTTAGGCACAATGTTCTGTTATTAATTCGTTTGCGCTTAGGGGTCTTTAACAGTTGGAGAAAACCCACCAAGCTGGACTGGCATCCATACTCGTTACATTGTGACGTTTTAATCTTTGAATCAATTATATATTGTATAAATCTTAAGATATTCTTTCAATTCGGATTCCCAAGTACGTAAAACTGTTAATTTTATATTAACAAATATGGCCAATGACACTGGCGACCGAAAAATGTCACCTCATTTGAAATATGAGCTTCCTTAAAATGCATGAACAATTAGATTGAGTTTTTCTAACATTTTGACATATTCAGATAGTGGACCAGAATTCTACAACTGGAATTTCGGAGTTCGTCTGCAGGCCAACTTGAGTCGTTTGGAGGATTGGATTGGAGGGAAGCATCTTGAAGCCGATTTTCATCAAGTTTGTGAAAAACTTTTAAGTTTGTCAAATCTGCTGGCGACATCGAGACAGGCATTGATTAAGGTAAAATGTAACAGATTATGTGAAATTACCCAGTGCACACATAAACTGCTTTACGCGGATTTTTGGCAAGTTTCAAGGATCCCAAAGAAAAGAGTCTGCTGATTACAGAATTCTTATGGGTATCTATAGAAGTATTGAAACACTGCATGAAATAACACAAGAATTAGTAATTCTGCAAAGTTGTTTCGTTTTTTTATATTTCGTTTTCCATTTATATATTAGTTGTTAAATTTTATGGAAAATTGATAGGAAAGATTACGATACTGAAACCGTTTCCTAGTCGGAAGAAGACTGAAGACGTTTAGATTTAAAGAGAAGTGGCCAATAAAAATATTCCCACCTGAAAAAAATGTTCAAAAAATAAAATTCTTTATTTCAGCTATTCGCTTGCACGCAGGTGTCTTAAGAAACAGAGCACGGGAAAGGTTAGGTGGGCGACTATACATCTTGTTAATATCAATGAAATGAAATCGGGTTTAACGTCCTACGGTTCTTTTCCGATTCGGCTAATGAATACGGGCATACGTCGTGCACTGTGCTATGAAGGAATCTTTTAGGGATCTTTTATGTGCTCGCCAATGTGTACACGGGACCTCGGTTTTACGTCCCATCCGAACGACCAGACAACTGTTATGGCGAGGCCCTCCGTCCTGCTCCACTGATAAGGGGAAACCACCGAATTGTTCAGAATCGAATCCATTACTTGTCTAGATAACAGGTCTGATATTGTTTTGAAAACGATATTAACGAATTTTGTTTTATCTAATTCAGATGAATTGGCAGACAATCCGTGAAGAGTTCAGTCCCCTGAACGAAGTACAATTATTGAAGGTTTTACAGGGATATCAAATAGGACAGGGGAGACAATCCCCAGATCACTGGTTTCCACAAACAGAAATCGACCAAACCAAAGGTACGACTTCAAGCTGATATTCTTTCTGTATTCTTCAAGATTATTCGTGTTAATAAATTTTTTGTTTTGGTAGAAAGTATGAATAAATAAACCTAATAAAGTATAAAATATTCAGCGTTAGTAACAATCTCAATCATTTTAATCATCGAAATGTACGTGGCGCTTTTGCAATACCGAAAGGATCAATATTGTATTTTGTAATTATAGAGTTGAATATAAGTCTGGCATCGTATCCTGTTTTTCTGTTGCCGACCACCGGGCCGGATGTGACGTCTATGAATTTCCCTGATGATTTTTACGAGACCATGGATCGTCTACAGGCAGCCTTTGGTCTAGAAGAAGGTGAGTCGTCTTATGATAATTATTATATTATACTTTCCGTCTGAAATTTACTGATATAAAAGATACACGTCTAAATTAATTATTTTTAATGGATTGGAACACGGTTAATAACATGTATATTTTCTCTATTAGATCATAACTGTGGTTCGAAAGTTGAATAATGTACCATTTATAATTTCTTCAATATTTCAGATGATAGTGATAGTGGTTTCAGTGTGAGTAACACACCCAGAATATGTGAACAAATAAACAATAACAACAACAACACGAGTAATAAAATATTCTACAATAAAGACTCACCACGTGTTCTAGACAAACATTCTTCTCGTTTTCTATTGGATAACGATCAGTGCTCGAGCAGTCCGAGTTCACCACGTGTTGGACACGTGTTCTCGCCATCACGTGATGAATTATCGTCTGCTTCGGATTATTTTGAATGTGATACAGACACCGCAGATGACAACACAGTTCAATGGCGGGAAAATTTAGACGAACATTTGGAAATGGAAAATGATTTATCTTTTCGAAATAATGATGCGGTTATTCCCGAAGAAGACGACAGTATTACGTATGCAGAGTTAGACTCTCCTAGCAACGAAACACTGACCAATAATGCTCTGGAAAGCACCGATGGTCTGTATGTTGATGTGGCATCAAATGGCGGGAAAACGGAACCAGGAAAAAGTCTTCGTGTTCTATCGCTAGAGGATTACAGCGGTAAGCCATCTTTATGTATTATAAATTATTTTGTTTTTATTAATAATTCTCATGCAGTATACACCAAGAGTATCAAGCTAAATATCCACATCATGAAATATAGATGGAAAGTAAAGGACCACAATTCTGCGGTAATTTTCAGACTCTCATACGGGAACTTGACCCAGACAGCGGTGTGTCTAACTACTCGTCATCCCATTCCGATTGTCATAACGCTCTTATGCTCTACATCAGCGTGTACGGGAGTGTACCACGGTTTATCATACTATCCGACCGACTAGGCAACAATAGAAACATTCTGGGATTCGAAACCGGGACGTTCTTCCGATACTTAAACATACATTATGCAAGAGCTAAATCGGCCCATTGCAGGTCTTTCTTTAGGCCTGAAATTTTATATATACTATTAATTAGACATTTATTAACATGACAAGACCATAATCAACCCTCGGTGCCATCGGATGTCTCCGATATTAATTAAATTAGAACGGTTCAGCCATATTTTGATTTAATTTAAAAATGGAGAAACGAGGCTAAGCTTCGAACGAACAGTGCAGTGGTTGCAATTAATGCACACATCGTGTCAAACCTTAAAAGGCTAATACCCTCGCTCGCAATAGAGTAATTTGAATGAAACTTTCAGCATATTCATTTTGCATTATCTATTTTCGGACTATTATAGCAAGAATGACTAGCTCTCTGTCTAAATCTTACATAATGTATCTTTAATTAAGTAAAAATATTGAAAATGTATTTGACAGTTTTTTAATCGAACATGATGAATTTAGACTGATATTCTTGGAGTGTACTGTAACTTACTTCTATTTATAATGTCACCCTGTTTTGTTTTAATAACTCAGTTTACGTTTATTGTTATAACATTGGAATTTGGAAACAAACCGTTGTTTGTGACGAACCGTGTGTTAAAGAGGAATTTTCATAGAGCAAATGTTTGAAATTTTAAAAAGTAAATTGGTAGAGATTTTCGTTATTGTGGGAATGTAAGCTTTAATGAAATGAAATGGGTTTAATGTCCCACTGTTCTGCTCCGACTGGGCTAATGAAGACGGGTATACGTCATACAGTGTGCTATGAGGGAAATTTTGCCCAGACAGTGGCGCTATTGCCAACTCTTATATCTAATTCCAAATGCCATCTGATCTTTTACGTGCACGGCAATGTGTACACGGGACCTCGGTTTTTCGTCCCATTCGAACGACTAGACAGCTATCCTTGTCAGGCCCTCTTTCCAGCATCACTGGCAAGGGGAACCACGCCGGAAAATCTGGATGAACTTTCACGGCCAATGCAGGGATCGAACTCCCGACCTCCAGGCTAGCGAGCCAGCGTCTTACCCACTTAGCCACCGCGGCCCCCGTAACACTTAATGACGGGTATAGATCTTTCCTTGAATTCCTTCACATTATTTAATATGGAGAACCACTCTCTAACTAGGTTGTCTCCTAGTTCGGGCCCGATTTGTTGCAGTCTGGTTTTCGCTTATGAGCGGTGCAGGGCGGAGGTTCTGGCAAGGAAAATGCATTCAGTCGGTAAAATGGAACTAAAACCGACTGTCAGCACGTTAAAAAAAACCTTTACATCTGGAAATCCAAATAAGAATTGTCCGGGCATAATTTCCGTTATAGAACAAGCTTCGCGTCATATTCTCCCGTCATCATTATCCTCATTGGGTACAATGTAGAGCGTTAAACTCATTTCAATCAGGATCCTCGTCGGGGTACAACGTAGAACGTTAAACCCATTTCAAACAGGATCTCCATTGGGGTACAATGTAGAACGTAAACTCATTTCAGTCAGGATCTTCATCGGGGTACAATCTAGAACGTTAAACCCATTTCAAACAGGATCTCCATTGGGTACAATGTAGAACGTAAACTCATTTCACTCAGGATCCTCGTTGGGGTACAATGTAGAACGTTAAACCCATTTCAAACAGGATCTCCATTGGGGTACAATGTAGAACGTAAACTCATTTCAGTCAGGATCTTCATCGGGGTACAATCTAGAACGTTAAACCCATTTCAAACAGGATCTCCATTGGGGTACAATGTAGAACGTAAACTCATTTCAGTCAGGATCTTCATCGGGGTACAATCTAGAACGTTAAACCCATTTCAAACAGGATCTCCATTGGGGTACAATGTAGAACGTAAACTCATTTCAGTCAGGATCTTCATTGGGATACAAAAGTATAACGTTAAATCCATATTACAGGAAACACTTACCTACGATATCACCCAATTTGGAAACGGACGCTGGGCCTCAATTTAATGGAAAGCTACTAAAGGCTCTTTATCTCCCAAACCATCAAAGAATACAATAAGTTAAATTCAACATTCTGCTCTTTAAAATTCTCACCATTTGTTTTATTTCTACTAACTTTCACCCAGGCACCAACTATCTGTCACTAATGCACTAATACAACTTTTTATTTACAGTGAAGGAAATGGCGGGGAGAAAGTCGTCTGTCACGTGTAAGTGTCCATAGTTTAACAAACAAAAATAGTAGATAGTTTTGTTTTACTTCAGAAACTGTGCGCCATTTTACTTATCATCATTCAAATATAGTTAATATTGTAAAATTCTCAAGAGACAGGTTTCACAAAAGACGCGTGGCTCCCTTTTATTATCATTATCGATAAAGTGGGCAGAGGCTTCACGCCCTCTTACACAATTTAGGGCATTTCAGGACAAACATGATTTGCTTGTAACGTAATTAATGAGAGTGGTTGCTTGTGCAAAAGGGGGGGGGGGGTGGCCGAATGGTTAGCACGTGTGCGCTGTATCACAAGGTCTGTCATTGAGTCAACTGGCGTGGTTTCGATTCCGCGGTGTACGTGACAACGAGTAGGGTCGCCTGTCCAACCTTGTAGGTTTTCCCCGTTTCCTCCGGTTTCCTCCCAATGCTAAAGACCCCTACGCTAAAGCGAATTATTGGAATAAAATTGAACCATATGTTAGTCCCGAAATGACATAATTTGTGTCGAGTGGACGTTAAACCCCATCTCTCCCCCTCGTGAGGCCTGGCTCACTGTCCTTGGTCTTGCATGGTCAGTATCATTTTAAACATGAACTGAAATGGTGTTCAAATTGTCATTGAGTTAAGTGGCGTGGTTTCGAATGCCCGCTTGTATGTGGCAAGGAGTAGGCTCGCCTGTCCAACCTCGTGGGTTTTCGCCGGGTGAACCATGTGTTACTCTCTCTCTTTCTCTCTCTCTCGCTTGTGCAAAAGGGGTCTTAAGGCAGGCGACCCTGAAGCGGTGATTCAATTTCCAGCACTCCTTAAAACTAGGGTTCTTATTTTAGTCATATTTATCAATCTGGACCGACCGGTACTGAAACTGACCGGCTGAAGAACATACATGTCGGTCAATTTAGGTTTCATGTAACTAGAATTTGAAAAGATTTAGCCCTAGAAAACAATAGATACAGTTTGAATTTTCGTTTTTATGTGTAAAATACTTAAAACTACATATGGAATTGGGATATTTTACTAAAAATGGACATTTTCTTTGGAAAATATATTTTGCTATGTCCAAACATCAATCATTTAATTTCAATTTTTTTTCTTTTCTATTTTACTATACAGGGTGTTAATCAGGTGAATTTTATATTTTTATAATATAGAATTAATCAGGTTAAAGGATGGTTGTTGTTATATATAATTAATTAGCCACAATATTAGGTCATGGAAGAGGTGTTGTTATATATATTTCGTCTCAAGGCTCCCTTCCCTCCATTTATTCATGGTATTGATAACCACGTGCCCAGTAGAGGGGATTGTTCAAGTGTGTATATGACTTAAAAGAGTTGAAGGGAAGGGAGCTTTAAGGGGTGTTTACACTAATTGAAGAATGAAACTGCTTTAATTTTATTTAAACTAGATGTACTAATATTAAAATATAACATTAATAATGAGCGTGTGTGTGTGTGTCTGTTTGTGACATTGGAAAGGTTTTGGGCAGGAGCAAATGATAAAATTCCTTATTTGGAGTGGTAGAAGCCATCTTTGTATCCGACTTACTAATAGCTCTCAATCTGCGATGCATCTCACCACGGGTGATTGGGAGTGTCGTAGAAAATCATTTGGCTGAGGTGGGGACACAGATAGCAAGCGAAAAAACTCACCTTGTGTACGTCACGAAGAAGAGAAGATAACTCCGCTTGATTCTTAGTTTTCAACGATGACGTACGATGCTACAAGAGTACGAGACTGAAACACCCAGGGCTATATTAACTTGTAGGAGGCTTATTACTTACTAACTCTGGTTGATTCTTAGTTTTCAACGATGACATACGGGACTACGAGACCGAATCATCCAGGGCTATATTATCCTATTACTAACTTCTCTCTCTGGTGTATACAAAATGCATGTTTTTCTTCTTATCTGTAATCAAATGGTTCATGGTAATATGTATAGAAATATATCCGAATCTACTGTAATATATTTAATATCATCAATACCTCATGTTGTTTGTGTGTTGAAAATAAATAGTATCTTGCAATTATGCCTTTTACGATTTGCAACGAAATGGTGAAACTAATTGAACCAACGACGACCACGTTTGGTGGTTGAACAATACAATGCTATTAGGGTCGGTGACAGCTAAAGTATATATGGAAATATGTAAATTGAGATCTGTATTTAATAAAAATGACGCTATAACATTTTACTCATCAATTTGTTTTAACCCCACTTCCCCTATTTGATACCATCGCACACAATAATAAAATTAGAACGTTGTTTCTTATTTTCAAAGGAGGCTCACGTGATCTAGAACCGACCAATGGTTTTACGATGGCATCACATGACCAACAGATACAGATGACGCCAGGAGAGTTGGGGGATATATTTTCGGTTACCATGGAGAAAGGGAATGGCTGCTTAGGTCTCGGTCTAATAGACGGCTTGGTAAGTATTAATTTTGATCATTCGAAATTTACACGGCAACCATAGCAGTATCATCGCGCAATCAGTTAAAAACACTCATCCTGTGTACGTGGGTTTGGGTGACCGAATGGTTAACGCGTGCGCGTTAGATCATTAGGTCTGTCATTGAGTCAAGTGGTGCGGCTTCGCTTCCTCGCTTGTACGTGACAAGGAGTAGTCTCTCTCTCTCTCTCTCTTTCTTTCTTTCTTATCCTGTACACAGTTATTTGCATTTTTCGTTTGAAGAGGCTGTAAGAGGTTTGTAGGGAGAATTACTACTTGTCGTATGTCCGCCCTATGTTCTTTCTTTTAATGAACTTGCCTTGAATTCCCGATTGCGAATAAAACGAAACAAAACAAAAAATATAAAGCAAATATAAATGTAGATTTTCCCCAATTACTTTCTAGCCAACATTGATATAATTCTTAATAAAATAGGTGTCGAACAATCCACTAAATAAATTTTGATCTTGAGTAGACGTAAGTTAAAGGTGCTGTCTAGGAACACGGCTCTGTAGATTGAATTGATGACCACAGAATATTACGTATCCTCCCCCCCTCAACCACCAACACTTCTGCCTTCAAAGCAGGTTATATAATTGCACATGTATTCTTATGACATACTATATTTCAGTATACACCTCTACAGTCACGTGGTATCTATATACGGAATATATTATGTAATAGTCAAGCCGAGAAATGTGGTTTGTTGAGAGTAGGTGATCGTATAATGGCCGTCAATGGTACCAGTGTTGTTGATGCGAGCTATCAGATGTAAGTAGGCCTACCTTATGTCTTAAAGGCCCATTTTCAATTAGCTTAAAAACCTTTTCGACTCCCGGAGTTGGTCGAGAAACTTCACCGGGATTGTCCGACGTGCCCCCCCCCCTCCCTCGTCAGTGATGCAGGACACAGGGCCTGGCAAAGGAAGACGTAAAGTCGTTCGAATGGGATAAAATAAACCGAGGTCCCGTGTAAACATTGGCGTGCACTAAAAAGATCCCTCGGTAATTGGAATTCGATATAATAGTTTTGCTGCCCGGGCAAAATTTCCCCTATAACATACCGTATGGCGTATGCCCGTCGTCATTAGCCCAGTCGGAGAAACATTTGGACGTTAAACCCTGTTTAATTTCATTTTCATTTTCTAAATTACTAATAAAAAGTATATTTAAGACCATCAGAAACTCTTAATAGTATTTTCCTCGGAGAATATGTAGGGCTACTACTAAGGCATTTCCATTTGTAAGCCTATCTGGCACTATATTTGTATAATTGGTTTTTGTGACTCAGACTTCCAGCCAATCTATATATATGTTGCATGTTTTGTGACACAGTCTACAGTTTAATTCATATCTAAACTAGTCTCCAGTTTTGCCTTTATAAAAATCATCACGATAAGAACTTGTTTTGCTTTTTCAGTGCCATGGACTACATCCGGTCAACGGGGCAGGAAATCAATCTGGTTGTTGCTAGGTCAGAACGCGACGTCGTTACTAAGATCCTGGCATCCATTTGCTGAAAGATATTCTTTTACATTAGCAGCAGCTGCTTTCTTCTTGGTTATCAAGACGTCTGATCACGGAAACTACAGAAATATTATTCGATCCGAGCATGAAAATATTTTTCGGAATATGCCTAAAAAAAATGACGACTGCGTTTTAACTACATCGGTGAATCTTCGGCGACTTCTTTAAACGGGGGGACTTGTTCATGATTTAACAGTTGTCAATGCAAGATGAGTTCAGAAAATAACTCACCCAGGTGTATTTGACTATCAGAATGACAAAAACTATGTAAAGACCTAACAATTGGATTGCTTGTGCTATTCGGTGACTTTGTTGATCAGTGTTGCACTGTCTGATGGTTCTATAGTGTTCACAAAACAGGTGGCTTTGCTGCAATGGAAGGCTCTAGGCTCAAGATGGTGTACTCGATTAAAGAATGTGCTGAATGTGGTCGATGACTATATGTATTAAATATCGACCGTAAGGTAAAATTACTGCAATACACACATCTTGTCAAAACTACAAACAGTGATATCTTGACTTAGAATAAAGTAATTTGAATGATATTTTCAAATTTTCATTTTTGAGCTGTTATAGCAAGAATGGTCAGCTCTTTAACTAAATCTTACATAATGTATCTTTAAGATAATATCATTATTTATTGTCATATTCACTCCCTATTTATCACATTGTTTTATTTATTTGTAAATAATATCGCTTTACTAATTTATTTATTTAATTTATTATATTTTATAAATAAACTAACTGTTTTATCTTGTAATTTTGGTATGTTCATCTATACAACGGGGTCTAATAAAATGCGGAAGGGTGGGGGTGGGGCGAATGGTTTAACGTCTGCGCATTAAATCATAAGGTCTGTCATCGAGTCAACAGGCGTGGTTTGGATTTCTCGCTTGTACATGACAAGGAGTAGGGTCTCCTGTCCAACCCCGTGGGTTATCTCTGAGTCCTCCGGGTTACTTCCATTGCTACAGACCCCTATCGGAAAGCGAAGTATAAAAGTGAACCATATGTTAGCCTCGAAATGACCTAGTTTGTGTCGAGTGGACGTCAAACCCCATCTCTCTCTCTCTCTCTCTTTCTCTCTCTCTCTATTTGTCTCTCTCTCTCCCCCCCCTCTCTCTCTCTCTCCAAGTCTCTCTGTATGTCCCTGTCTCTCACACTCATGATACTCAGTTCATCGGGATTTCCCGACGTGTTTTCCCCTTGTCAGCAGTGCAGGACGGAGGGCCTGACAAGGACAACGGTCTAGTCGTTCGGATGGGACGAAAAACCCGAGGTTTCGTGTATGCATTGACATGCACGTAAAAGATCCCTTGGCAATTGGAATTCGATATAAGAGTAGGGAAAGTTGCCTAGTAGCACACAGCGTATGTCCGTCTTCATTAGCCCAGTCGGAGCAGAACAGTAGACGTTAAACCCCATTTCATTTTATTTCTCATGAAACTGGGAACCACGGCGGATCAGCGACTGTGGCCTCGACTGCTCACTAACGAAGGCTTGGTAAGAAATTGGAAGGAAACACATTGACAGCAGGTTAAAGATCATCTGGCAGTTGGACATCGAAAAAAGAGTAGAGCCGCTGTCCGGCCAAATTAATCTCATAGCCCACATCCTGCCGCATGCCTGCCATGTTCAGCCCTCAATGCAGTCCCAGAAGAAGCTGTATCAAACATATTTATATTATTCAATAGTTTATCAATGCCTTGATGTAGTGCAAACCTATGCGTGATTACACGTCTGTCAAACCGGAAGTTGGGGCATGTGCCTCGTTGCCAGGCGAGACGACTGGATCGTCGAGATAACAAAGACTGACGTTTCTTCTACAAATATTTAATACAGCAATTTTAGTAAAAATATTTACAAACAATAAACTTGAATAGTGGTTACTATGGTAATTATATAACAACTCAAATCTACATCACGTGGTATTTTAAACAATTTGGTTTGGGTTTAAGGCACGTACATGTATAAGTCTATATGTTTAGTTACGGTTGTTATGGTACAAAATGGAGATGGTTGAATATAAAATATGTTTTTTTTTAAACACGTCCTCACAAATTTTGACAGATTCTTACATTGCAAAAGAAAAAAAAACTAATAATAATAACAAACAAAGCAAGACTAAAACGAAATCCGCCAATCGACGCGCAATTGTCCAAGAAACAAGCATGCTAAGTTTTATGTGGATTTCATTTTCAATCGACCGAGCCTAAGGCTTTGTACGAAGAGCGCCACCCCTAAAAAGAAGAGCACGAGATGCATTGCGCTTGGGGCCTAGTATCTGGTCCAAAACATGGAATTAGAAATTATGTTATGGACATCTACAAACTATCAATCATAAACGAGATTCAAATAACGTTACGTCCTTAATATTACTGAAACCAAATGCCAGAAATCAGAGATCGTTAATTAGAACCTTGCCTAAATGGCTAAATCTATTTGCTAAGGCCAGCTCAATTTTTGTCAAGGTTGGCGAGATTGTAGGTTAGGGTTAGGGTAAGCATTGGAGCTAGGTCCAGGGTTAGAGCTAGGGTTGGAATTAGCGCTAGCCCTGTTTACATCTCGTGACCAATGACGAAAAATTGAGCTGGCCTTATCATTTAGCACTAACCTTTCCTGAATGTCGAATGAAAAGTATTCGAAAAAAGGTGGAACGATTTAATAATATTAGAAATCATTTGGTCCTTAATGTTAATGTGCGTCTTTTTCAATATTTCGAAAAATATCAAATTTGCTTAACTTAAAGGCTCAATACCACTCTTGTTGTAACTGAATAATATATCCCAATCTTTATTCTGGTCAACATGCAAATTGTACTATTTTACAATATTCCAATTAATTGATGATACAAATTTCATCTTAACACACCTAATTTAAAAAATTGGAAAAATTCAACTAAATGATTTGAAAAGCCTGACGTAAAGTTTTTCATATGTGACTTGGATTTAAAAATATTTTTGAACCCTCTGGACAAGTAAAATATGATTTAATGGATAATTTACACAACAGGTAGGACACTAACACATCTAGTACTTAGAATAAGGCTATTTTTTATTTTCTGGGGCTGCCAAGCCAGCAAGAGTGTTATTGTCCCTTTAATACCAAGCTAACATGTACACAAATTGATTTTTTAACATTTAATTAAGAAAATAAAATCAAAATATTAACCAAATATAATCTAGAATCTCCCCAGCTGGGATTTAAATGAGGCCCACCAAAAGCACTAAATGTTGACAAATTTACAATTCATCATATCTTCGTAAATACTGAAAGGAACTTTTGGATTAATATTCCTTTTAAAGATCCAACTTTGACAATATTGCTGAGGTTTGTAATGGATTAACAACCTTACAAAAAGGCGACAACAGAAATTATTAAGTAGTACGCTGTTACATAGAGAATTTCCTAGGAGTCCTTTTTGATATCAAAAAAGACAAGTAGGAGATTTTATTTATCACCCAATCCTTTCTTACATGCACAAATAAATAAATTTATTTTATGATCAGTAGTGGAATACCGCATTTTATCAGTGAAATAAAAGTGTTATTCCACTGGCTAAAGTAGTCCATGTTGTTTTTACCCAAAATGATTGTAAAATCATAAAATAAATAGAACATTTGTCGTTTTGTCGTGAATAACATATTTTATTTCATCCCTTAGCAAGAAAACGTTTATATTTTCACTCATGCTACGCATTCGTGAAAATATAAGTTTTCTTGCTTCTCGATGAAATAAAATATGTTATTCACTCTAAAACGACAAATATTCTCTATATAATTCTTTGCTATATATTTTACTTTTGCTGCACCTGATTACATTACGGCGTAGTGATACATCATTTTTGACAGCAATTCAACCATTGCAAAGTCCCTTATATTGACCCAGTGTTTCCGTCGAGGTCAATTAAATAAAAACAGTTCATTTTTAATAAAAAAAAGAAGTTATTTTTAATTTAAAAAAAAAGATGTTATTGTTAATAAAAAATGAACTATTTGAAAATAAAAAGAAAGTAGTTCCTTTTTAACTGACCAATCGAATTCTTGTATCGCAGTAGATTATGAAATTTATCACACAAGCGATATCTACTGTAGAATGTATTATTGGGTGATAAATTAAATTATAAACATAATATTAATGGTTCATAAGACCGAATATTTACAAATATACCATTTCTATAAAATAAGGATCCAACTAAATGATGAAGCACAGTCTGGAGGGCAAAGTAGACATTTTATATCAGCACAAAACTTGAGCAATATTAAAGATACTTTCCCAGAAAAGTATTTATCGGGTGGTTATTTCCAATAATAAAAGTATGGCAATTTTGATATATATATGGAAAGTAGAAACATCCAGTCTTACTAGCAAAATTCTGGATTCCCTGAAAAACACCCATGGAACGCATACAGGGCAAAAATGTAAGGGTTTCCCTAATCGGCAGTCAAACGAGTAGGAATGCTTGCTCGCGTGACGCCAATGGTTGCAGGCGATGATTGTCTGATTTCTCAGCGTTATTGTGCGCTTGATGTATATGTTGATAAACGTGACGAAGAGCTTAAACGTACAACAGTTTCTGAGATGAAAACCACGGAAAAAGAAGTGGGCAGTGGATACTCGGAGAATTTAATTAGGCTTCGATAATTAGGATAAATGGATAGCGCTTAAAGACAACATCGTCTTGTGTATGCAATGAATTCTCCACCGGCTTCGCACCCATTGGTATATGTCAGCTAAGTCACGTGACACAAACATGACTTCTTTTATTGGATTTTGTATAGCAGGGGTATTCCCTCGCGAAAACAATATTTTGAGAAGGATTTGAAGCAAAATTGTGATAGATTGAGTAGTTTGAATATGTTTTTAGTCCAAATAAATCACCAAATCACCCATTTTGTACGCAGGAAGACATCTTTAAAGAGTGTGTGTGTGTGTGGGGGGGGGGGTAGAACGTGTGCGCTGTATCATACGGTCTGTCATTAAGTCTGGGGTTTCGATTCCCCGGTTGTACGTGACTATAGGATGATGAAAGTATGGTTTAATACAACTGAGCTAAGCCGATGTTGCCTGTCCTACCTCGTGGGTTTCTCCGGGTCCTCCGGTTTCCTCCCACTGCTAAAGACCCCTACGCGCAAATTTCAACAAATTCCTTTTACATTATCTAAATATCTAAATTGCCAGCTCTTTATCTAATCTCCCATAATGTATCTTTAAGATTCATGGAAACATTGTGGAAATCGTTGGTCTTCCCCTTTAATCTTATATCTAAATTAAATTATGTATGGAACCAATATGAGATCAACTTACAATGTAGCTCAAATACAAGTAAAAATAACAATTAAAGTTACGCGTATAAATTATTTCCATTCAAAATCCACATATTATAAAAATCAATTCATATTATTGTGGAGATAGAGGAGAAATTGGTCAACGGATTTGGGGGGTTGCGTGGTCCTGAGGTCTAAATCAGAAGGTCTATCATTGAGTCAAATAACGTGGTTTCGAACTGAAGCTTGACAAACCCAGCGGGTTTTCCCCGGGTCCTCCGGTTTTCCCCCCCACTGCTTAAGATCACTACGAATTATTGAAATACAATTAAACCACCATATGTTAGTCAAGAAATGTCATAAGTTGTGTTGAATGGACGTTAAACCCCATTTCTACCCCTGCTATCTTTTACAAAACGATTTAAAATTCAAACAGATACAAATGTGGATTTTTACAAAACGATTTAGAATTGCAGCAGAAAAAAATGTGGATTTTTACAAAATGATTTAAAATTCTATCAAAAAAAAAAAACAAAAAAAAAATGTGGGTTTTACAAAACGATTTAAAATTCCAACAAAAAAAATGTGGATTTTTACAAAACGATTTAAAATTCCAACAAAAAAAAATGTGGATTTTTACCTCGTATTTTCATTTTTTCTGGAATATGTGTGATAGACCATAATTAAATTCATAACTAAAATTAAAATTCTACAACAAAATAAAAAAATAAGTGTAAAATTCAAATAGAATAAAAATGATATTAAAAACGATATCGTAGAAATCACAATTGTGTGGACTCAGCTGCCTCGGAATATGGTGGCGGGAATCCGGGATTTTCAACTCCATTTGAAAGCGTTTTGGATGTTTCATTATTTCTAAAATCGCTTGCCTTGTCTGTCATGTAAGCCTGATAAGGAGCATCACCATTGCCCTTGCCGTTCTCGGCGTTGCCTCTGGCGTTCTCGGCGCTGCCTTTTCCATTAGCTGTGAAAACCTCTATTTCGTCTTTCTATAATGATAATAATAATAATTTTATAAATAACAATATCAAAGAGATATTGCGCGTAGGGGTCTTTAGCAGTGAGAGGAAACCGGAGGACCCGGAGAAAACCCACGAGGTTGGACAGGCGTCATCGGCTTAGCTCAATTGTATTAAAACGTACTTTCATCATCCTCTAGTCGTGCTTGTATGGGATTCAGTGGGGCGTCTTAAGTCGATTGGTCTGGCACCCCCTCTTCATCTCAGTCCGGCCCCCAACCCCAAGACTGAAACGGTCGCCAGTTTATATCGAGTCTCAAATCCGCCATGGTTCCTCTTATCCAATATTTACCTATATCGGTAGTCTCTGATAACAAAATGAAAATGAAATGAAATGGGGTTTAACGTCCTAGTGTTCTGCTCCGACTCGGCATACGCCATTGCAGTGTGGTATAAAGGGAATTGTGCCAGGCCAGCGGCGCTACGGCCTACTCTTATATCGAATTTCAATTGCCAAGGGATCTTTTACGTGTACGCCAACGGAACCTCGGCCTTTTGTCCCATCCGAACGACTAGACAACTGTCCTTGTCAGTCCCTCCGTCCTGCACCACTGACGAGGGGAAAACACGCCGGAAAATCTCGATGAATTTTCTCGGACAACACCGGGAGCAGACCTGCGACCTCCAGGCTAGCGAGTCAGTGTCTTACGCACTTTACCACCACGACTTCCACATTAGATAAGAGGCCAAAGGTTATTTGTTTTTGTTCAAAGAAATATAAATTCCAACTTACATCGTCGTGTCGAACCCCGCACCATAATCGGCGTCTGAACTTTTCGGGTAGGAAACAGAAAGGTGGCACGATATCAAAGAACGGACAGATCATTCTCGGATCAACAGTTTTCGGGTCAGTTGGTCCTGAAATTAAAGAGAGAGAAATGGGGTTTAACGTCCACTCGACACAAATTAAGTCATTTCGGGTTCTTACATACGTTTCAATTTTATTCCGATAATTCGCTTGCGCGTAGGGGTCTTTAACAGTGGGAGAAAACCGGAGAAAACAGACGAAGTTGGACAGGCGACCCTAATCCTTGTCACGTACAACCGGGGAATCGAAGCAACGCCAGTTGACTCACTGACAGACCTTATGATACAACCATTAGCCCCCCCCCCTCCCGCCGCCTCCCCTATGGCGTGGGAGGGGTATGCTCCTTCATGCTCCCTTTTATTTGATTGCCAAGTCTTATTTTTTCAATTAGTATACAGTAGCTCGTCACTCACGTGTTATACCTTAGCTCGGTCCCATGTGTTATACATTAGCTCGAGCCCATGTGTTATACACTACCACGACACGCGCGTGTTATACAGTACCTTGGCCCCATGCGTTATACACTACCTCGGCCCTCGTGTGCTATACACTACCTCGGCCCCATTTGTTATACAGTACCTCGGTCCCATGTGTTATACACTAGCGCGGCCCTTATGTGTTATACACTAGTCCGGCTCATGTGTTATATACTAGCCCGGGCCCATATGCTATACACTAGCTCGACCTTCGTGTGTTATACACTAGCTCGACCTTCGTTTCGTGTGTTATACACTAGCTCGGCCTTCACGTGTTATACCCTAGCTCGGCCTACACGTGTTATACCCTAGCCTGGTCCTCATGGTGTATACACTAGCCCGGACCCATGTTTAAAACACTACCTCGGCCCTCGTGTGTTATACCCTAGCTCGGCCTACACGTGTTATACCCTAGCCTGGACCTCATGGTGTATACACTAGCCCGGACCCATGTTTAAAACACTACCTCGGCCCTCGTGTGTTATACCCTAGCTCGGCCTTCGTGTGTTATACACTAGCTTACACTAGCTCGGCCTCCACGTCATATACCCTATCCCGGTCCCCATGTTTTATATACTAGCCCGACCCTCGTGTTTTATACACTAGCCCGGCCCTCATATGTTATACTGAATATACAACGAACATAAAACAGCTGATTGGAAGCCTTTCTGTGTATCCACAGCTGATCTCATGTACGACACTGCATCAATACTTTAAATGGAGCGATCATAGCTCTACTTGGATTTCAGAAGCCGAAAGCAACTAGTCTAGTGGTGTATAAATTTATTCTCTATGCAAATATCTAAAGTGGCAAATGAACAGAAATAGGGTTTAACGCCCTAGTTTTCAGGAACAACTATAATATGACATGTGGTGTGCTATGAGGGCAATTATTTTAAATTCCAACTTTCAAGAGTTATTTTACTGTATACACATGACTTTGGCTGTTTGTACCATCCGAACGACTAGACACTCTGCGCCGACAAGGGGGTGCCACGTCATCAGAATTGGTATTTAGTAATTGAACATATTAACACAAGATACAATTTTATAGATACACAATTACTGAGATTAATACTATAAGCGACGTTTACACGAGGATACTCTCGTCTTTATCAAGCAAATGATGTATATTTGCCTACTAGTCACATACCTGTATCATTTGATTCACATACCTGTATCATTTGATTCACATACCTGTATCATTTGATTCACATACCTGTATCATTTGCTTGATAAAGACGAGAGTATCCTCGTGTAAACGTCGCTTAGTATTAAACTCAGTAATTGTGTATCCATAAAATTGTACCTTGCGTGTTATCTGTATGTAAATGAACTTACCCGTAATAAAACTAACTATTAAACCAACAATAACAGTTGTAGCCACTGCTGTGGCGCTATACCACATATAGGATAGTGTGTATAAATAGTAATCGGCGGACCTGTAATATACAAATGACTGCCATCATTAGTGAACGGGATATATAAGGTTAGGGGTCAACAAGAATGTGAGATGTGAGGTTAGAGGTCAACAAGAACGTGAGATGTAAGGTTAGAGGTCAACAAGAATGTGAGATGTGAGGTTAGAGGTCAACAAGAACGTGAGATGTTATGCTAAAGGTCATCAAGAAAGTGAGATGTAAGGTTAGAGGTCAACAAGAACGTGAGATGTAAGGTTAGGGGTCAACAAGAATGTGAGATGTGAGGTTAGAGGTCAACAAGAACGTGAGATGTAAGGCTAAAGGTCATCAAGAACGTGAGATGTAAGGTTAGAGGTCAACAAGAACGTGAGATGTAAGGTTAGAGGTCAACAAGAATGTGAGATGTGAGGATAGAGGTCAACAAGAATGTGAGATGTGAGGTTAGAGGTCAACAAGAACGTGAGATGTAAGGTTAGAGGTCAACAAGAATGTGAGATGTGAGGTTAGAGGTCAACAAGAACGTGAGATGTTATGCTAAAGGTCATCAAGAACGTGATATGTAAGGTTAGAGGTCAACAAGAACGTGAGATGTAAGGTTAGGGGTCAACAAGAATGTGAGATGTGAGGTTAGGGGTCAACAAGAACGTGAGATGTAAGGTTAGAGGCAAGAACGTGGGATATAAGCCCAAAGATTGCTATTGTTTCGTCGTTGACTCATACGATTGTGGTCTGTCCAAATAAACAGCCCTCAACCGGACTCGGGGCAACGAATTAGACAATCTGATTAAAACACAGATCCGATTCGTTTCGTTTTTAATTAATTCAAAATTTCTTTTACTTGTATTTACTACACTAAGATTTGGAACAGTTATATAACCCGCATTCTGGTTGGTGTGAGGGATTAGCCAATAGAACGTTCTGCTGCAGCAGGTTCTTGGCGTGCGATGCACGTAACCGTGGGGATCCTACTAGACATCAACGCTGATCGATTAATCATATGTCTGACGCCATAGGGTCAAAAGCCGCTCGTATGACCCCTGACGCGACCTCCCAATACAACTGGCCAGGTCTTCATGTAGTAGAGGCCATCGAAATCTGTATTATAATCACAATGCGAATTGGAGTGAAAATACCCTCTATTTGTTGACAGTTTTCATATTCATAACAAAACAAAACACAACACAAGGTATATATCCATATAACTACTTCTCTATTATTTAATAACAACGTTTCGTAACATAGGTTACGTCCAATAACGTGAAAACGTGACCTGTATGTGTTACGGAACGTGGTTATTAAATAATAGAGAAGTAGTTATATCCATATATACCCTGTGTTGTGTTTTGTTATGAATAGTTAACAGGTGCTTATAGGTGTCATTTAAAGAATTTTTCATATTGACTACTAATAAACCCCTGAACTCAAGACTTTCATTACTCAGTAACTGCTATTTATAGAAAGATGACATCATTGTAAGAACATCGACAGGTTTTTACTAAAGGCCGTTAACTACAAATGTTGCTTAGAAACCGAACAGTTCAGATTGAAAGTGCGCGTGATCCCAATGCACTTTAAATCAAGTGAAATGAAATGGGTTTAACGTCCTACTGTTCTGCTCCGACTGAGCTAATGAAGACGGACCAGTAGTCAATCGACTTGTTTACTTTATAGAAATAACCGTCATTTTTATAATCAGAAATAAAATTTAATGGGGTTTAACGTCCGACTGGGATAATGAAGAAGGGCATACACAGTGTGCTACGATGGGCAATTTTGCCCGAACAACATCGCTACGGCCTACTGTTTTATCCAATAAAATCTATGTACGGCTCGTTTACGTGCACGTCAATGTGTATACGGTACCTCGGTTTTCGTCCTATACGTTGTCCCATGTCAGACCATCTGTCCAGCACCACCGATAAGGGAGAAACCACGCCGGAAAACCTCGATGAACTTTCTCGGCCAAAACCGGGATCGAAGTTCGTCTCAGTGCTGTGAATATACCAAAGTGAACTGTACAACACTTTCTACTTCTACCCAAGTCATCAAGGTATGTACTGACCTTTCTTCTGGTACTGGCATGATCGTGGTAGACATGTTATATAGATCTGTAGCCATGGTTGTAGGCGGCAGTGTTATGTTACTACAGCCTATTGTACGTAGTAAGGATTTTACCTGTGGGGGTTTAACTACCTGAGCACCGATACCAATCCAAAACATAAATATTAAACTAGTAAATAAACCAGTATAAGCACCCTGTAATATATAACACATTAAACAAATTAAGGCCCCTTCACACAAACATCCAACCTCGTGGGTTTTCTCCGGGTCCTCCGGCTTCCTCCCACTGTTAAAGACCCCTACGCGCAAGAGAATTATTGAAATAAAATTAAACCATACGGTTGTCCCGAAATGACCTAGTCTGAGTCGAGTGGACGTTAAACCCCATTTCTCTCTCTCTTTAACACAAACAAAATAAAAACACCCGCGTAACCCCGGTAGCCTTGGTGACTCAAAGAGTACGTCGCTGTCACGTTACCTGGAAGGTTCCGTGTTGGATCCATTGTGTTGTCCTCGTGGAGGATCCTTTGTTACTGGTGCAGGAGAAAATGAAATGAAATGTAGTTTAAAACCCTATTGGGCTAATGAAGACGGGCATACGTCATACAGTGTGCTATAATGAGGGAAATTTTGCGCGGGCCTTCTCTTATATCGAATTCCAACTGCCAAGGGATCTTTTACGTGCACGCCAATGTGTACACGGGACCTCGACTTTTCGTCCCATCCGAACGACTAGACGGCTGTCCTTGTCACGCCCTCCGTCCTGCATCACTGACAAGGGGAAACCAAGACGGAAAATCTGGATGAACTTTCTCGGCCAATGCAGGGATCGAACACCCGACCTCCAGGCTAGCGACCAGCGTTTTACCCACTTAGCCACCGTGATCCCACTGTTCGTTAAATAGGTCATATAAAATAAAAGTTAACTTACCCATTTATTGGCCCAGGGGAAGAGCATACCAAGTGTAAACAGTCCTAATAATGGTCCACCAATCATACCAAATAGAGATAATGCTGCCTACAATCAAATAAAACATAATACCTTATCTAAAGGGGCATTATCTGCGATATCACCTCGGTGGAAGCGGACGTTAAATAAAGCTATTTCACACATTAAAGGGGCATTATGTTAGAGTAAATATAGAGTTGACGGTTCTCGTTATAATAATTACAAAATAGATAACCTAAGTACAATATGCTGAAGATTTCAGTCAAATTGCTCGGCTCTGAACCGAGATATTAGCTTTTAAATTTTAGGCTGGACTCGAGCATCATTACTAAAATCGGTACGATAAAAAAAAAAACAAAGTCTAGATTATCCATTTTTACGTTTAACTATTTTTCAAAAAAAGTATTCCAATCCGCTAAATATCACAGGCTAGCGATGACATCGAGAGTTGATTATGGTCACGTCACATCTGTATTTCAATTACACCTATTCTATACAATACTGTTTTAGTTTGTTTTTCATAATTTTACAAAATTTAAGATCTTAACATTACACTTCAAGAACTATATATCTATGTTTTGCAACTCACTGTTCGGTATTGTAACTATAAGATTTAACTGTTTTATATTTTATCTATGTTTGTAACTCATTGTCCGGTATTGTAACTATAAGATTTAACTGTTTTATATTTTATCTATGTTTGTAACTCATTGTCTGGTATTGTAACTATAAGATTTAACTATTTTATATTTTATCTATGTTTGTAACTCACTGTCTGGTATTGTAACTATAAGATTTAACTATTTTATATTTTATCTATGTTTGTAACTCACTGTCTGGTATTGTAACTATAAGATTTAACTGTTTTATATTTTATAGTATGATCTTTTAGAGGCATTTAGTAACTGGATAGAGCAATAAACTATAACACATACTTATGGATTTATTTGGGCGACGTTTCGAAGAGTATTCTCTCAACGTTTTCAAGCAAGTGGCTGTAAGTGGCCATTCTATATTCTCGCCTGTTTTCTTGTCTTGTCGCCTTGACAAACCGACAAGGCGAGAATATAGAATGGCCGCTAACAGCCACCTTACTGGAGAGAGCTTATATAAACGCTTGCTTTTTGTTCAATCCGATTCATTATGTTGAATAAAACATTTTTTCAACTATTCAGTTTATTAGTTCTTTTTAACACAATACAAAGAAAATAACCCCTCCTAAAAAAATTATTTAAGAAAATGCACTGGATCCATTTTTAAGCATCGCCAGGGTTAAAATCAAAACTTTTTGGTGATGTATCTCCACGGCTAACGATCATCGAGACCCAAAATGACAGGTCAGCATGCGCACTGGAACGCACTTTACATCAACTGGATCAAGACACATCAACGAAAATTGACATCGACTGCAACTTTAAGGAAAATAAGGCTTTAATAATTAAGGTAAAACGCTCCCCACTCCCTCTCTTGGCCGACATTGGACGGGAGATGTCAAAAGGACACAGCTCACCATTGATTTCTACACCGTCACTTAGTCTTTCTCTTCCGCCCCCCCCCCTTTCCTTCTTTTGTATATTGATCTTTGTTGACTTTTTGGTGTAGAATCGAAGAAAAGGGTTTAAAAATAGTGAATATTTAATGACTTTGAGGCGGAAGGATACAAGAGTTAGTTTGAAATTAATGTAGGGCGGAAAATTGCATATTAATTGATCTCTACTTCCAGTTTGTGTATCTGAAGTTTTCCATAAGGAACCTCTCACGTGCTTTTCAGCAAGAGGTTGCCACATGTTGTGTCCATCTGCGGTAAAAAAAAATTCTACCCAACGAAAATTTGGAAATAAGTTAGAGTCGGTCTAAGAGACGAGAATTAACATTACAATCAATGGTGACATGCAGCCAAAACAGTTCGGGCTAATTTCTCAGGAGTTACTTCCCTTAGATAACAGCTATGGCGATACTCGATTGAACGTTCCGGAAATGAATTCTCTACACCCCAGAAAATAGTGACAACTGAGTGAAAAGGAAGATTTCGGGATCCAAGGCATGCGCCGAACGCATAAAATAATATCCCAACCAACCATGGCAACTGGAACATTTTCATTGTGTTTAATTACGTCACGATTCTACTCACTCCACCTCAGTTGTTATCAAGTTTTTGCGAGAGTCAAGTTTTCAAGTTTCGTGGTCGTAAAATAGATCGTACCTGTAAAACACCGCCTAATAAGGAAGCGACATACGTCAGACCAAGGCATATTAAACCAAACACAAACGCTGAAATAAACAAATGAAAACATTCATGGCATGTTTATGGGCGGTGTCATGGAGGGCGCTCTCGTCGTTAAAAAACATTTCATGGTCATTGACTTAGGTTATAGGAATATTACTAGCCATGATAATTTGATATATGGTGCAGCATGAATATTTACAAAGCATGGTAATAATTGAAATCGAGGCAGTACAGGGGATGATAATACAGCATGCGCAGTGAACAGATCATGTACAGAAGGCGAGCATGCGCAGTGAATGGATCCTTTACAAAGAATGGGAATACGTAATGAATGTATCCTGTACAGACAATGAGGATGCACGGTGAAGGATGGGCATGCGCAGTGAATGCGTGTGTCCGCTATAAGGGATGCGCATGCACGGTGAATGTATAAAGTGTACAAAGAATGAACATCCATAGTAAATGGAGGTTTTACAGGAGATGACCATGCGAGGTGAGTGGATCCTGTACAGAAGATGATCATGCACGGTAAATGTAATATGTACAGGGAATGATCATGAACGGTGAGTTGATCATATACAAAAGATAATCATGTACAGTAAATGGAGCTGGTACAGAAGATGATGTTTCCTACCTAAGACTTTGGATATTAATGTTGCTCTCTCTTGACGTAAATCTTTAACAATATAGGCTTTGATGACGTCTTCTAAAAATACAGCGGCTAATGAATTTAATCCTGATGATATAGTACTGAAACATATAACAGAAAAAAAATAATAATAGTCTCGGTCATCGGTCACGTACGGCGGGTCTGGGTCCGTTGTCAATATTTGACGAAAAGTCCATTGCCCATGCGTAACTGGGAGCTTGGTTTTTAATGTGGTTGATTATCCAGTATCTTTGGCCACGTCAAGTAAGAGTTGCGCCTCTTCCTACAATAAATCTCGTAATGCTTGTATTAATATAAACAAACATGAATCGTGACGACGAATTAGGGTTAATTTTATAACATATATATGGCCAATGAAGAGAGAAATTTTACGATAAAAAAATTAAGAGTATTGGATATTGAACTGGCAATTGATTATTGAAATGACATTCTTAAATTAATTTCATGGGCGTCAACATCTTGTTTTAGGACTAGTTACCTCCCTTAGACTTTGTCTATGATCATGTAAAAGACCGGATAATCTAGCCCAAGACCTATTATTCTCAAATGTTGACAACGTATCCAGACTAATATTCGTAGAATATTTTTCTGGATGATAGAGACTATAATAATAATAATTCAAGGGGTTCCATTATTTTGGCTAGCTACAATGGCTAAGGTTCATAATTTTGTAATGGAGAAGGTTGTGTGGACCAGCTCGTTTTTTCGTTGGCGGAGCTAAACATAAGCTTCCACCGAGGATGATATTGCAGACAACACCACCTTGATGGTAGTCATGGATGATTTGATGTTTCCGAAAGATGCTACAATTATTCTGCAGAAGCTAGTCTGACTGTGATGATTACACTGAAACGTCAGAATAATTTGAACGTTATCAGCACAAAAACGGTGTGTGACTTGTCATCGTATAATGAGATCACCTAGTGATTTATTATATAAACAAAAGGGACGCGGGAACCAGTACAGAAACTTGTGGTACGCCGCATAAAAGAGGCACATGTATGTGTATGTTTCGTCAATGATAACAGATTGTACCCTTCCAGTACGGTAAGAAGAAGACCATTAATAGAAACATTTAATTCTAATCTATTTGTCAAGGGTTCGTTTATTAAATAAACAGAGGGCCTTGGGACCCAATACAGAGCCCTGTGATACGCCGCATAATAGAGACACATGTTTGTATAGGTTCCGTTAATGATAACAGATTGTGTCCTTTACAATACACCATCCCAGCAAAGCTTATGCCCAACCCACTTGTCAAACGTTTGTTTGAATTACAAAGATGAAGTAAGCGGTCACACCAAATGGTTAATATTTTTAAGGCTTACCTGAGAGCTCCACTAAATAAACAGGCTACAAATATACCTGGTAGACCAGATAAATCACCTAAAACATCCATTACAAATAGCGGCAGTAACTGTAATTATAGTAAAACATCCGTTACAAATAATTGAAATTATATTAAACCATCCTAAGCTATTTTTAATCTTTCTCTTTCTTCCCCCCCCCCCACCCACTCCCTTTTACATGGCGATTTTTGCTGATTTTTTACTTTTTGGTGTAGAATCGACGAAGAGGGTTTGAAAATACAGTTTCAGACAGTTTTAGGTAAATATTCATGATTTAGAGGCGGAAGGATAACAGAGTTATCAGGTTGGTTACGGTGAATAGTTACATGTTTTTAGTATGCTTCTTCAAGTTTGTGTATCACAAAATTTTGGTAGGTCAACCTCATACAAATTTTGGTGCAAAGACACGGCCACTTGTTTCTTTGATTTTGGTGAAAAGTATTCAGTCCAACGAAAATTTTGGGAAAAGTTGGAGCCGGGCAAAGAGATCAGAATTAACATGGAAGTCAATGGGGAAATTAATGGTCGTCTGCCTCCCGATAACAAACAGGGGAAGTAACTGTAATCATATTAAAGAGTAAGACTACTAAATCGTTTGCTATAGACTTTTATCGGAACCTGTTGAATTTCGAGGAGTCTAGCTGATATGTCATAAAACTTAGAAATATAAAATTAATAAAAGTTTGCGTGACCAGTGGTGCGCTAAAATGGTGGGTTGTGGTGGGGGATGCACCCCCAACTACTCTGCGAAAACTCCTGTTTGCATAATTTCTCAGAAAATGAAGAGAATACAACAGAGTGTATGTGTAGTGGGTGAGAGTCGTGTGAGGGTCGTGGGCGGGGGTAGTTACAAACTGTAATACTGCACGAATGGGGGCCAGGCATGGACTGAGGGTCTGCTTTTTTACACACCCACCACCCAAAATTGTTTTTCGTCCAGCAAGTTCCGATAAATACAACCGTAATTTCCGCTAGGTCCTCCTCATGACTCTAAGATTGGTCATATTATTGTCGTTCGAAGGGTAAAACGTCCGCTTTTACCGAGGGTGATATCGCAGAGTAATCGTCTCATATGTTCAGCGCATGCTTAGGGGTCTTTTTCGTGGTCATATTATTGTTGTTCGTAGGGCTTAACGTCCGCTAGTACCGAAGGTGATATCACAGAGAAATTGTTTTATTTTAGTATATTTAGCACATGCGCAGGGGTCTTTCCCGTGAAAGGAAATCGGAGTAGCCGGAGTAAACAATTCAGAAGACGTCCCTATCTCATAAGTCTCATACGCTCATACCAGGGATCAAGACCACGACCGTCAGCCAGAGGTGACCAGGTCGCTAGAACTCGAGGCGCTCATACCAAGGATCGAGAGCACGACCGTCAGCCAGAGGCGACCGGGTCTCTAGAACTCGAAGCGCTCATACCAAGGATCGAGAGCACGACCGTCAGCCAGAGGCGACCGGGTCTCTAGAACTCGAAGCGCTCATACCAAGGATCGAGAGCACGACCGTCAGCCAGAGGCGACCGGGTCTCTAGAGCTCGAGGCGCGACACTTTAGACCAATTACCCACCTCCCCCATCCCCTATATTTAACTAACCTGATCAGCTTGACTAACTAATTTAATAGTTAGAGGATCACATGTTGAATAGAAAGCATACATCACTATACCAATTAAACATGACAGGTATAATATTACACATAATCCAGGAAAATTAATCCACATAGCACTGAAATATACATATATCATTTAAATATTCATTAAACCCAACAGCACTGCAGGGCGGAGAGAGAGAGAGAGAGAGAGAGAGAGAGAGAGAGAGAGTTTAACATCCACTCGACACAAACTAGGTTATTTCGGGACTAACATATGGTTTAATTTTATTTCAATACTTTGCTTGCAGTGGGGGGAAATGGAAGGACCCAAAGAAAACTCACGAGGTTGGACAGGTGACACGACTCCTTGTCACGTACAACCGGGGAATCGAAACCATGCCAGTTATTATTATTATTATTATTATTGTTCGATTTATATAGCGCCTCATTACACATAGTGTTTCTAAGCGCATTCACAACAAAACAGTTCAAAAACATTTTGAAATAAATATGTTTTTAAGTTAGTCTTAAAGCTCAGAATGGAAGAGGACTCTCGAAGAGATTTTGGAAGATCATTCCACATTTTAATTGCTGACCCAATGACTGACCTTATGGTACAAAGGCCATCCAACCCAGCCAATCCTTAATAATAATCCACATATGAGATGAAACAACCCAGCTTAAGCACCATCTCTAGACCCTTGCCCCCAATTCTATAGAAATTGTATATCCTGGGCCCTGGGCCCTTATTCACGAAATTTTAACTAAAGATAAAATCCAAATTTTAGTAGATACTTCTGTCTAATATTATCCATTCAAATTACTAAAATTTGGATTTTATCTTAGTTAAAATTTCGTGAAACCGGACCCCGGTTTCCAAGTCCGCGTTTTCGCCGAAAACATGGAAAAGATCATATTGTATTTGCATTAGACCGATTTTTGCCGACATTTACATGGAAATGAAATGAAATGAAATGGGGTTTAACGTCCTACTGTTCTGCTCCTAAACTGGGCTAATGAAGACGGGCATACGCCATACAGTGTGCTATGAGGGAAATTTTGGCCGGGCAGCGGCACTATCGCCTACTCTTATATCGAATTCCAACTGCCATGGGATCTTTTACGTGCATTCCAATGTATACACGGGACCTCGTGTACATGGAAAATGGCTCTAACACGGTTGTGGCTAATACTTACATCTGAGCTTTTCTTAAAGTTGGACACGTGCATGCACGTTGTACCTGAGCTTGGTTTGTACCATAAACAGCTACCCACGTGAAGAATCCACCAACAACTAGAGACCACACACTATGACGCACTGCTGGGTTTACTCTAAAACTACAATAATACAAAAACACAATAAATAGTCACAAACCAATAGATCCATATCTATGGTGGGCGTATGTGAAGGCTGCGTGGCCGCGTGGGGTTTATTGAGATAAATTATAACCGCGACGGGGGGTTGGATGGCCGAATGGTTAGCACGTGCGCGTTGTATGATAAGCTCTGTCATTGAATCAACTGGCGTGGTTTTGATTCCCTGGTTGTACGTGACAAGGAGTAGGGTCGCCTGTCCAACCTCGTGGGAATACTCCGGGTCCTACGGTTTCCTCCCACTGCTAAAGACCCCTACGCGCAAGCGAATTATTGAAATACAATTGAACCGTGTGTTAGTCCCGAAATGACCTAGTTTGTGTCGAATGGACGTTAACCGCGGCAGAAATATTCTACTCTTGGATTCGAACCTAGGACCATAGGACCATAACCTTCGGGCAATCTTACTTTTCGGACAGACGCGTAAAGTGTTCAAAAACAAAAATTATTCCATCTAGTTGGCCAAAAACGTGCCAGAAATCTAAAAAAACACTTATTTTACTTTTCTTTTAATTAAATATCACGAATTTGTACTGAATTGACTGTGATTAAAACATTTTGTCTGGAGCCACTCTACTTTGTGCGACATTTTTCGAGAATCGATTATTATTTGTGAATGCAGCTTCAACAGTATAGTTGGATGACTAGATCGGCATAAAGTGGGACTTCGGTTGCAAACCGATTGGAAACTTTGAAGTTGCTTAATTCACAGGCTAGAATAGCAGAAAAGTTCTTTTGCTGCTGTTAAATCTTCAAAATGTTCTTGGGAGCGCAAGGCCCCTATACCCCGCTATATCGGACCACATTGAACTGTCTTCAAGGGCTGTTATAGCAGGAAAACGCTTTTGTGGCAGTTTAATTTTCTTTCGCATACAACCGGCACCGCAATCTGTAACCTGAAATTTTTCGGACAGTTCAGGTCCCCCCCCCCACTCCAAACATTCATATTTTATGGATAAATTTATCTGATATCTCTAGATTTATGTTGGTAAGAGGATTCTTTATAAAAGGACGTATATGCTTTCCAGACAACAGGGGGGTGCTTCACTCGCTTCCTATATATAGCTAAGATTTTTTTTCACTTACTCTGTAAAATACACACGACCACTATCGTTGGCGATTTCCCAAGCGTTGGCAAACCCACCGACCAGGATACTACCCCTAATGAGTACAGCCAATAAACCAGTTATCATCATGACTACTTGAAATGTATCCGTCCATAACACAGCCTTCATTCCACCCTATAATAATATATATATATATATATATATATATATATATATCAAGTATTTATTTCATTTATTCCCTTCCTTTGGAACAGATAGATTGCCAGGCAACGAAACATACGCCCACAGTAGCAAGGTCGTCCGTGCAGTCGTGAGTAATGAGAACATTTACAACACATGAAATTTTGATTACGAGTAATAGCCCATTAAGTAATTATCAGAAATCATTAAAATTTGTTTTGATTGTTTGTCTCATGAACGTAAACAATTTATATTAGCTTTAGGGGGCGTCAACAAGATTTTTCAGAGTGATCAAGGGCCATAACTCTTGCAGTAATTATCAAATATCATTAAAAACCAATCGATTTCTTCAACCAATGACATTAAACACTGTGTATAAATTTAAAGTCAATCGGATATTAGATTTAGCCTCTAGAGCGTCCACAAGTTTGTTCAAGGTGATCAAGGGCCATAGCCCTGACAGTAATTATTGTAATACAAAACATTTAATATCAATTGCCACAATCAGTGGAAATCGTTGCAAATCAATAGGCGTCTTCTTCTCATGACATTAAACATTGTGTATAAATTTAGAGTCAATCGGATATTAACGTTAGCGTCTAGAGCGACCGCAGGGTTTTTCAAAGTGATCAAAAGTCATAACTCTGGCAGTAATTATCGTAAATCAATGAAAATCAATAGGATCCTTTGTCTCACGATAAATTTAAAGTCAATCGGATCTTAACTTTAGCCTCTAGAGCGGCCACAATTATCGGGAATCGCTAAAAATCAGTAGGCTTCTTCGTCTCACGACTTTAAAAACTGTATATATTTAAAGTCAAGGGCGTCCACAAGCAAATGTGGAAGCCGGACCGACAGAACGACGGACGGACTGGCGGGGGGGGGGGGGGACGACAATATACGACCAGATTTCAATGTGGAATCTGGATAATCATAGGGAGGCAAATACTCTTAAGATTTCAGATGGAGTACCCTTGAATTGGAAATGAGGGAAATTATGCCCAGACAGTGGCACTCTTATTTGGAATTCCAACTGGTTTGAACATGGTCTTTGGGATCTTACAATATTGACCTTTCGTAACGTAAAACATGTTATAGATATTAAGACTGATCTTGCAAACGGCAGCATCTGTGCCAAAGACTGATAATATTAGATTCATTTTTGTCATGGCGACAAGCATGTGAACAAGTCTGATATTATAATGGTGTGATAACCTGCTATCACTAATATGATTAATGCTTCTTAAATTATCCACTATAAGGTCAACTTCCTAGTAAGTCGTTAGCCTGTCACCACTTTTCAAGCCGTCATTGGTAACGACGTTAATCCCATCTATTGTTTTTGTTGATTTATTATATTGTTTAATCTTTTATGCATTGTTCATCTATCGACATGTCAGTTTTAATTACAACATTTAATTTTATCTTTTTATCTGATTTTCCTTAAACATTACAAAGTTTGTACATTGAAGGCAGTCACTAGTTAGGATCCCTTACTAAGTGCAGTAACTGGCCTGTCAGTACTGTATGACGACATATGTATATTTATGTTCCGGTATATTAAAGAATTGAGGAATCATTCGAAGTCTGTTATATCCGAAGAGAGAAATTACACCTTTAGAATATCTTCTAATGCCATAAAACTGTTTGATTAACGTAACATAGATATTAATACTTACGAATGTGGTGTAAATGGTACAAACGATGCCTACAGATATAACTGATCCCCACAACGTAAACCCAGTTACTGTAAAACAAATATAAAATAGATTGCCAGGCAACCAAACATGATAACAGATCTCAACAACGTAAACCCAGTTATGGCGTGTAGGGGTCTTTAGGAGTGTGAGGAAACTGGAGGGGTGACCCGGAGAAAATGCATGAGGTTGGACAGACGACCCTACTCCTTGTCACGTACAACCGGGGAATCGAAACCACGCCAGTTGACTCAATGACATACCTTATGATATAGCGTGCACGTGCTAACCATTCGGCCATCCAACCCCCCTGTCATCGTTAATCCTTGTGCGTATACAAGGGGTATTTCGTAACCCGACGACCATATCCTTTTCGTTTGTGAGGAACTGGGTCATAATTGTCTAGCGAGAATTTTATACATTGTCAGCTATTTAATTTCGAGTATTATGCTGTAAATAGAATGGGCGTGAGGCTGTGGCAACATTCATCATTTGACAAGAAACTACGAATATTACATTATCGTACACAAGGGGTCTTGTGCCCCCCCCCCTTTCCTTTCAATTTTTTTCTGGTTACAAGTGTCTAATCTATTCTGCGCTCGGTGCTAGCTTTGTGATTGGAATCTTTCTTACTGGTGATATTGTTTTGGTCATTCTAGTTATCTAGATTTAAGGGGGTGGATGGCTGAATGGTTAGCGTGCGCGCGCTGTATCATAAAGTCTGTCATTGAGTCGACTGGCGTGGTTTCGAATCCCCGGTTGTACGTGACAAGGAGTAGGGTCGCCTGTCCAACCTCGTGGGTTTTCTCCGGGTCCTCCGGTTTCCTCCCACTGCTAAAGACCCCTATGCGCAAGCAAATTATTGAAATAAAATTAAAACCATATGTTAGTCCCGAAATGACCTAGTTTGTGTCGAGTGGACGTTAAACCCCATTTCTCTCTCTCTATCTAGATTTAAAAGCAAATCTAGGTACTCTACCAACCCCATTAAAAGACAGATTCTACATGGAAATGCCAATTAAGTTATGTGTAGATTTGTATGGTTTCAAAAATACCTTATAATTCATATCGTCACTGTTAATACCTCAAATATTTTTGTTCACTTTGATTGATTATTATTCAGTCTTGATATGAAGCTGTAATTTGATCGTATTTGAATAAAATTATGCACCCAAAAACCTATTATTGTCTGGGGTCTTAGATTACCCCTTGTTGCTGACAACGTTTTTTGTGCAACGTGACCGCACAAGGGTTAAGGGATACTATATTTATGGTGTAATGAAACGGGGTGTAACGCTCTACTCTTCTGCCTTGCTATTGAAGACGTGCACCAACCATTCAGCAACGACAAACAGCAGCAATACTCTTATTTCTAATTCCAACTGTCCAAAATTATTTTAAATGTACGTCATGGGGTACACGGTTTTCACGTACCATCCGAAAGCCCAGACAACATTTCATGCGTCTCTTAAGACCACGCCAGTACGTAAACGGGGATTTTGAAACACTCCATGCTTTGTTAACTTGTTATTTTTAGACTTGCTTAGGCTTTCTGAAATGTTCAGAACCTTTTCGAATCATTCGCTGGTTAGTGGAGTTTAACGTCCGCTTCCACATATGATAATATCGAAGACAAATACTCCCAACGAATCTTGTCAGAATAGCCAGTGGTGATTGATGGGTTAATCCAATGTTGTGTATTAGAAGTTTAGGAACGAATGGTAATTCGCAATCCCCATAACAGTGATTACAGGCGCAGTACATGAAGATCTGACCGGTTGTATTGGAAGGTCGCGTCAGTGGCCGTACGAGCGTCAGACATTGATTAATCAATCAGCGTTGACGTTTCTAGTGATTTACCCACCGTTCCGTGCATGACATGTCAGGAGTCGCCGTAACAGATGGTTTCATTGGCTAATCCCCCACGCCACCCAGAACGCATGTTATATAACAACTCTTTCAGATCCTAGTGTGGTACAGACAAATAAAACGAAATTTAAAACTATAAAAAAAAACCCGAAACGAAATAGGATCTGTGTTTTAATCAGATTAGTGTAGTCATGATACAGTGTCTGTTGGACTCAATACTTTGTCAATATTTAAATTCGTACTTACCAGCATTTAAAGCTAACGATGGAGCGTACAATACAATGGCCATGTATAATACCTACAATATACAATATATATTATCATTGTTTAAATAGCAATCATAGCTAATGATGGGGAGTACAATACAATACAATTATAGCCAACGACGGGGAGTACAATACAATGGCCATGTATAATACTTACAATATATAATATATATTATCATAGTTTAAATAGCCATTATAGATAAAGATGGGGAGTACAACACAATGGCCATATATAATACTTATTACCACAGTATCAGTATACATTATGTAAGATTTCGATTATAAGCTGGCAGTTCTATTAGCTTATTTGAAAATAGATAATGAAAAGGGTATATGTTGAAAATTTCAGTCAAATTACTTCATTCTGAGTGACGTAACGACTGTTTTGAGAATAGCGAAGTCTCGATTGTCATTACTACCGTTGTTACGATAGTAAGCAAAGTCTAGAGTATCCAGCTTTTAATCAAATCATTAATCGCAAATAATGTTTAAATCCGTTAAGTATCTAGAGCATCCGATGCCATTGAGAGTTGATTATGGTCTTGGCAAGTGAATCAATAACATTTAAGGTCTTAAAATTAGACGTGCAATAGGCAGATTTAGCTCTTGAATAATCCATTTTTAACAACACTGAAAGCTTAATTTAAAGTTTAGTTTATATTTTCAAAAGTTTAATTGGACAAATCTCCATGGAAATGGTCTTTCGCCCTAAAATCAATTAAATCGTGCTAATAGTATTCCAGTTCATCACATCTTTGTAAATACTGAATATTGTATTTTGCAAGAAATAAAGGGAAATGGGGTTTAACGTCGTACTGTTCTGCTCCGGTCGGGCTAATAAAGAAGGGTATACGCCATACAGTGTGCTACGAGGGAAATTTTGCCCGGGCAGCGACACTATGGCCGACTCTTATATCGAATTCAAGCTGCCAGGGGATCTTTTACGTGCACGCCAATGTATACACAGGACTTCGACAGCTGTCCCCCTTCCCTCACCACTGGCAAGGGGAAACCAAGTCGGAAAATCCTGATGAACTTTCCCAGCCAATGCAGGGATCGAACACGCGACCTCCAGTCTAGCGAGTCAGCGTCTTACCCACCTAGCTACTGTGGCTCCCAAATAAATGTAAAAGTAGAATAGTTATTACCATCTGAAAGGCGAAGGTCATTGACCCGGCAGTTCTTACTCCTTTACTAAATCTTCGTTCTAAATACTGAAATAGAAAAAAAACCGTGTTTAATATTCATATAAAGTTACAATATAACTTATAGCTTTCAATCTAATATATAATAGACATGAAACAAATCATCATACTAAACTTACGCTGTCTATCCACAGTTAGCTCCGCTTGTGAAAAGACTCTAAGCCAGTTGGCCGACATTTTTTTAAGTCTTAAATCGACGAGTTTAGTCGAAAACACTAAGGTAGGGTGACCCACCATAAATAAATATCTCCAAATATCTCGACAATTACGCCACAATATTTATATATATATACCAAGCCTTAAATCATTTTCACACAAATATAGTCACTAAATAAACGATCATGTTGTACTTCATAAGCTATGACCATTTAATGATCTATAAATAATAGACTGAAACTGGTTCCAAATTTCGTCCATAACATCCAGACACTTTTGAGTAAAAGATAGGTTACGTGCCCTTGTTTTGAAATTAGGCTCGCTTAACCAGTGTACCGACCATTCTACTTCTGATTGGCAGGTCGGGATAATCAAGACTACCTTTTTACGAAACATAACCGAAAGCTGGAACAAGAAATTGAATTTAGAAAAACGCACGCTAGCCAACTCAACAATTGTTTTAAGAATCTTGTAAAAGTAAAATGAAACTACTGATAGTATCATGTTCCTGCTAACGAAAGTGATTCAGAGATATTATTTGTACTAAACCAAAAGATGCCGTTCTTAACGGTACAGTTAATGATAAAGCAATTTAAAAAATAAAACGAACGTAATTTCTAAAGCTGCTGTAATAACCAAGAAGCTAAATTTTAATGATATTCAAAATCGTCAACAATAGATTTTTTACGGCTGTAATAGTTGATAGATTTGTAGAGAATTGCACGTGCCATGGCTATTTATAGCATCATACAGTTCACCGTTGATAGTTCGAGACTACCACTGAAGCGTGTACATTAGCCGTAGGATATTTCGAGAAATTTGGGCGGTATATATATTATAGCTTTCAAACTAATATATAATAGACATGAAACAAATCATCATACAAAACCTACGCTGTCTATCTACAGTTAGCTCCTCTTGTGAAAAGACTCTAAGCCAGATGGCCGACATTTTAAGTCCTAAATCGACGAGTTAAGTCGAAAACACTAATTATTTACTAAAATTGAAAAGGCTTATATCAGTCTCGGTGTGAATAATAGATATGAGTTTAGACCCGTATCACAAAACAGTACATTAATTGTTGAATATGGCAGCCATTTAGGACAAAGATCTATTCTCGAAGTGGAGGAGAGAGAGAGAGAGAGAGAGAGAGAGAGAGAGAGAGAGAGAGAGAAAATTAACGTCCATTCGACACAAACTATGTTATTTCGGGACTAACATATATTTTAATTTAATTTCACTAATTCGCTAGCGCGTAGGGATCTTTAGCAGTTGGAAGACCTGGAGAAATACCACGAGGTGGATGGACAGGCGACCCTACTCCCTGCCACGTACAATCCAGGAATCGAAACCACGCCAGTTGACTCAATGACATGGAATTGAAGAGATAAATGTCCTTCAAGTATGGTGATTATTATTTCGGCCCACTACTACTGTTCCGGTTCGATGAGTTTGGAGAATGTTTTTTTTTTTTTTAACAAATTTGGAAATTTATTGTTCGATATTTGTTTTCCGTTATTTGTTTTTGTTGAAATGTATTTCGGCCCACTACTACTGTTCCGGTTCGATGAGTTTGGAGAATGTTTTTTTTTTTTTTAACAAATTTGGAAATTTATTGTTCGATATTTGTTTTCCGTTATTTGTTTTTGTTGAAATGTAAATTTAATTTTTTGATTTTTTAAAATAAATTTTATCTTTATATTAAAACACAATTGAATTAAATACAAATGAAATGAAATGAAATGGGGTTTAACGTCCTACTGTTCTTCTCCTAACCTGGGCTAATGAAGACGGACATACGCCATACAGTGTGCTATGAGGGAAATTTTGCCCGGGCTACGGCCTACTCTTATATCGAATTCCAACTGCCAAGGGATCTTTTACGTGCACGCCAATGTGTACACGAGACCTCGGTTTTTCGTCCCATCCGAACGACTAGACAGCTGTCCTTGTCAAGCCCTCCGTCATGCATCACTGACAAGGGGAAACCACGCCGGAAAATCTGGATGAACTTTCTCGTCCAATGCAGGGGTCGAACACCCGACCTCCAGGCTAGCGAGCCAGTGTCTTATCCACTGAGCCGCGTGATCCCCCGAATTAAATACAAATATAATATACCAGTCTGATATGACAAATGTTTGAATTATAAAACACATATTGATTTTAGGAAACCAATGTTAATTTTAGGATACAACTGCTAATTTTACTGTACACATATCGAAATGACAAATGAAGAAATAAGAATTAAGAACGCTAAATAAAGAGCTGTTTGGTCTTCCATACATTATAAACCCATCATACATATTTTTTTAGTATTCGACGCGTTGGTCTGCTTCCAATTGATGAATAAGACATTATCACCTGTATGTCGTTATCTTTAATGAAATAGCATATACTTTTAAATACACGAGTGACGACAGGCCTCTAAATGAGAGAGAGAGAGAGAGAGAGAGAGAGAGATAGAGATGGTTTTAACGTTCACTCGACACAAACTAGGTCATTTCGGGACTAACATATGGTTTAATTTTATTTCAATAATTCGCTTGCGCATAGGGGTCTTTAGCAGTGGGAGGAAACCTGAGGACCCGGAGAAAACCCACGAGGTTGGACAGGCGACCAGATTCGAAACCACGCCAGCCGACTAAATGACAGACTTTATGATACAGAGCGCGCACGCTAACCATTCAGCTATCCAACCACCACGCCTCTAAATGTATGTACGGTGAGTTAGATATCTTGAATAAAAACAGTGTGATAGTTTTCTATATGCAAGTTGAACTTTATTTGACTCGTATATTGACGACCATATATCTCTATCCCGCTATGAATAGTTTAAGCCTTTAAAAAACCCAATCCATTTAATCTCCTTTAATGACGCCAGTTACATGTACTCTTAGGGGCCCTGGGACGGCGCACCGACTGCATCGCCCCCTCCCCCTCGTCAGGCCTGGACACCTCACTGTCCTTGGTCTTGCATGGTCAGTATCATGAAATGAAATGGTGTTTAAATTGTCATTCAGTTAAGTGGTGTGGTTTCGAATGTCCGCTTGTATGTGGCAAGGAGTAGACTCGCTTGTCCAACCTCGTGGGTCTTCGCCGGGTGAACCATGTGTTAGTCTCTCTCTCCCTGTCCCTCTCTCTCTCTCTCTCAAATCATGTTTTAATGGATTCCGATGTCACATTAAATTATCATCCCCTCAACGAAAATAAACCAAAACAGACCCACACGACACATGTTCCTTCTCTACCTCCGTGAAAATTGCAAGATTGAATTCTCTTTTGATGAAAAGAGTAAAAAACTCATCTTTTGATTAATGAGTAATTTATTCTTTTGTCATTTTAATAATGACTAGACCGGTATGCATAAACGAGATCAGTTGGGGTCAAAGGTTAAAGGTCATGACACCAGATCAGCTGGTGTTTAAATATTTTTAGTAGGATAACAATGATCTGTTTACGGTATTGTACGGATTGATCATTAATAAAATATCTCGGGGTTCGTCAAGGTCATTCTGCAGCTCTTATAGTTGGCGTATTGTTTCATTGTCCCAAATTATAATAAATCCAGGCTAAGTGTTAAAGGGTTCTTTAAACATATACGTTTAGAGATCGGGACGTTCTGTCACAAAAGCGAAAATATTCATTCCATCCTAAATAATGTCCAAGAAATATGACATGAAAAGGGGTTTAACGTATCACTTTTTGCACCGCCTGGGTAAATGAAGACTGGGCTAATGTAGACTGGGTAAATGAAGACTGGGCTAATGAAGACTGGGCTAATGACGAATGGCCTAATGTAGACTAGGTAAATGAAGACTGGGCTAATGATGACTGGGTTAGTAAAGACTGGGCTAATGAAGGCTTGGCTAATGAAGAATGGCCTAATGTAGACTAGGTAAATGAAGACTGGGCTAATGATGACTAGGCTAATAAAGACTGGGCTAATGATGACTGGGTTAATAAAGACTGGGCTAATGAAGGCTTGGCTAATGAAGAATGGCCTAATGTAGACTAGGTAAATGAAGACTGGGCTAATGATGACTAGGCTAATAAAGACTGGGCTAATGATGACTGGGTTAATAAAGACTGGGCTAATGAAGGCTTGGCTAATGAAGAATGGCCTAATGTAGACTAGGTAAATGAAGACTGGGCTAATGATGACTAGGCTAATAAAGACTGGGCTAATGATGACTGGGTTAATAAAGACTGGGCTAATGATGACTGGGTTAATAAAGACTGGGCTAATGAAGGCTTGGCTAATGAAGAATGGCCTAATGTAGACTAGGTAAATGAAGACTGGGCTAATGATGACTAGGCTAATAAAGACTGGGCTAATGATGACTGGGTTAAAAAAGACTGGGCTAATGAAGGCTTGGCTAATGAAGAATGGCCTAATGTAGACTAGGTAAATGAAGACTGGGCTAATGATGACTAGGCTTGGCTAATGAAGAATGGCCTAATGTAGACTAGGTAAATGAAGACTGGGCTAATGATGACTAGGCTAATAAAGACTGGGCTAATGATGACTGGGTTAATAAAGACTGGGCTAATGAAGGCTTGGCTAATGAAGAATGGCCTAATGTAGACTAGGTAAATGAAGACTGGGCTAATGATGACTGGGTTAATAAAGACTGGGCTAATGAAGGCTTGGCTAATGAAGAATGGCCTAATGTAGACTAGGTAAATGAAGACTGGGCTAATGATGACTAGGCTAATAAAGACTGGGCTAATGATGACTGGGCTAATAAAGACTGGGCTAATGATGACTAGGCTAATGAAGACTGGGTGCTATGAGGGCAATATAGCCCCGACAGCAGAGTTCTTCATACTCTTCCACAAATTCCAAATATCAC